GTTGCTAGCGCTGCTTTAGGCAGCAGTTTAACTCACTACACCAGAACGCCAGCCCCACAAATACATTTTGATATTATGATTGTTGATCTCCTAACCATTTATAAGATCTCAAGGTTGGGATATACGAATTCTCTTATCTACTGCAATCCCCTACATTTGAATTCCAGTTTCCTGTAATAATTCTACACAGTGGGTTGTGTTTAATTTGTTGCTTCTCATTCTCCCTCACCAAACTGTGAGTTCGTAGAGACAAGTCCCAAGGAAAGGCATGCTGTCTCATTTCTGATTGCATAGTTAGTGCCAATCACAGTGTCTAGCACCTGGTAGGCATGTGGAAATCAATGCATAAATTTGATTTTTGCTCAGTTCTTAAAGTTGAGGCCAGCTGAAGGATCACTTACTCTTTCGAAAATCAGAATACAGTGAGGGATTGGCACTGTGGGGAAACTGGTTAAGCCACCATCTGGCAATGCTGGCATCTCATGGGCACCAATTCAGGTCCCTACTGCTTTGCTTCTGACCCACCTCCTTGCTAATTCCCCCCGGGAAGGCATTGGAGGATGGCCCCAATACTTGAACCCCTTCATCCATGTGGGAAACCCAAATGGAATTCCAGGCTCTTGGTTTCTGACCAGCCTACCTCTGGCCATTGCAGCCATTTGAGGAGTGAACCAACGGGTGGATGATCTTTCTCTCTGTCTTGAACTGTGTCTCTCAAATAAATAAAATATTTTTTTAAAAAAAGAATATGACATGGGCCGGCGCTGTGGTACAGCGGGTTAAAGCCATGGCCCGAAGGGCTGGCATCCCATACGGGCACCAATTCTAGTCCCAGCTGCTGCTCTTCTGACCCAACTCTCTGCTATGGCCTGGGAAAGCAGCAGAAGATGGCCCCAAGTCCTTGGGCGCCTGCACCCATGTGGGAGACCTGGAAGAAGCTCCTGGCTATGTGCTGCATATTAGCTATAATTTTCAGTTAAATCCTCAGGCCTCCAACATTCTAATGAACCCAGTGTCCCTGTTGATTTTGTAAATTAGTCCCAGAAGTTGAGTTGCTACCTTCTGTTGAAAAACATCAAGCAAAGTCTTGATATAATATGCATTTTATTCAAAGAATGAATCTATACTACTACCCACAGTGGAAGAGCCAGACCCCAAAAGCATATAATTCTGAGATTGCTTTTGATGGCTTTGGATATATAGGAGTGTGGGTGTGTCTAACTACTCCATAAGGTGATGAATCTCATGCATGACCTTGGCATCCTTGCCACTGCGTTACAGTCAACTGAGCTGACAGGAGTAGGCAGAAGATTTCTTATTGTAGTTTTCATAGCTTACTTCTGACAGTTTGATGTACCGTCTGTGCTTATAAAACTAGCTGCAGGCACTTTCATTATCCTTCCACCAGCTTAGCCGAGCCTTTTCTCCATAAACCCTGTTTTCTCCCTCCATAGAACAGAAGCCGCTTTTGTCTTCTATTATCCTTTCCTTTCCTGTATCATCAGTAGCCTCTTCTATTTACTCATATCCATTGGTAAGTAATTTGCCTGAATATGTCACCCATCTTTAAAAACAAAATGCGAACAAATCCCATTTTTAGCTCACCTTTGCTGATTTTCCCCCACTACATCATACTCCTGGAAAAACTCATTACACTGACTCTTTCCGCTTACTCATTCCCCTTGTGTTTAACTCTTTCTAGGCAGACTTCCTTCCACACCACTCCACTGAAAGATTCCTTTTCTAGATCATCAGCTTCCGCCCAGCAACAGAACATGGTCCATTTTCTGTCTTCCACTTATACTACCTGTCACACTGTAGTCAGCTCCATCATTCTTTTTACAAACATTTATATCTAGGCTCCTGTGGTACTGCATGGATATGTTTTCTTTCCCTTTCTGTCTTTTCCTTCTCAATTGTTTTGGCTTCCATCAAGTGTTGGAGTTCTCTAAGGTTTTAGTCTCAGTAGTGTTGTCTTGTCTGCTTACTCTTAACTTTCCTGAAGATCCTATTGAATCCATGGCTCTAGAATCATCTCTATATTAGTGACCACACTGCTCCCTGATTTCTGAGTATGTAGATGATGACTAGACATCTCTACTTCTTTTGTTTAACTTGTTTCTAGCTTTCCTCACAATTCTGCAATTCCCAAAGCCTGCCTTATCTTTTTTGGTAAATGACTATCATCCACCCACTCAAGTGCTTCAAACCAAAAGAAAATAAAGTCTAGATATCATTCTTTATTCTCCCTGCCTTTCATCCAGCATCCAGTTCTAAAGCAGGTTGTCTGATCTCCTTCCAAGATACCTGGCAAATCCAGTTACTCCTCTCTCTGCCTTTACTTCTAAAATTCAGAATCAAGCAACAGCCTCTCAGCAAGTCTTTTTTCCTCTCTTGCACTCACTTTATCCTTTACATAGCAATTTAGGTGGTCTTTCTAAAAATGCAGATTAGTTAGCACTACCCTGCTTTAAAACTTCCTAGTGGTTTCTTTCACACTAAAAGTGGATGCCAGTCTCAAGGTCCCCCATCATCTAGCCTCTAGCTGCTTTTCCCATTTCAATCCTGTCTACTTTTCTCCCGGGTCACTGGGCTCTACATACAGTGACTTTGTTTCTGGCTTTTGAATTTTACAACCTTATTTTTGTCTTTGGGCTTTGTATTTGCTTTTGTACTGTTGGGAATGTTTCGATCTGAAATTGTCTCATGATTAACTTCTCATTGTTCAGATTAAATCAAACAGTAGCTCTCTGGAAAAACTAATGTAATCCACTAAGAGAATCTTCATTGCCCTTTATGTCTATAATTATTTTAATTGCCTATTTGTCTCTCTCCTGTGTAATGTAAGATTGTTGAGTGTAGGTCTTGTCTTGTTCACAGTAAGTTATCAGCACATAGAACAGTCCCTAGAAGTAGTAGATGTGTAGTGCATATTTGTTGGTGGGAACAAATTATTGTTAAAAAATTCTTAGCATTGTTATTTAGTTTATGTAAATTTATTATTAGAACTTACCTCCCAAATGGAGTTCAATTCTATAGTGCTCAGTTTGTAACTTTCCTTCCCTCTTGAGTATCTTGGTAACAGTTACTTACCCTTTAATTTGTGATTTGCACACTGTATAGTTTGTCTTAAGTTCCTTCAAAAACAGTATTGCAAATGACACCAATAAATATTAGTTCTCCCTTCAGCCCCCAAAATGTTAGGTAACTTGCACAGGATTTTTCATTACTAGTCCAGGCAATTTTATTGTTGTAGAGTCCTAAGTGTGTGCTTGTGTGTGTGGTGGGAGAAATATAATCTCTAGAACCTTTTTTTAATTTCCTCAAGTCTCTCCAAGGTAATGCTTTTATGTTAATATCAAAAAACAGTTAAAGATAGCTTAAACTATTGACCCCTGTTAAAACCATTACAAATTAAGATCTGACCAATCATTTTTGTAGTTAGAATGATGATATTTAAAACTACCAGGTTTTATATGGATGCAATTAATGGTAGTTTTTATTCGTTGTGAGTTAATTTCTTAGGAAAAAATTGGAGACCAACTCAGGGAGAGGTAACAAAGCCTCTGTTTTGTTTGTTTTTGGCTAGTAAAGGCATTCAGTATGAGACAGGCTTACCTATTATCTAGTACCGTTGTTATTACTATAGTCCTTTTCTGCCTTTCCTTACATTCTACTCTGTCTCAGAAGCCTAAAACTCTGTGGGAGCTCTTGTTGGTGACATCTGTTATCATGACTTAAATTGCTTTCTGAGCTACCCAATATGGACCTTGTTGTAGTTACTAATAAGAATCATCTTGGGAAACTTTTTGGTACATTCATCAAAGTCATCACTTTGTATTTTTTTTCTCATTAATTATTCTAGCAATGTACTTGGTTATCTCTTTTCACTTACACTCTGCCTGCCTCAGCATTGAGCTTAACAGCTAAAGCACTTAAAGCCAGCAGCCTTCCGGTAATCTCCTGTTATCCTGTCTTCTTCCTCTGATGTTCTCTTGAAGTGAGCTGTTGCCAAAAAGTTGAAGTTAAGTTTCATATGACAAATTAAAAGTAGCTTTACAATGATATCTCTGCCCCTCTGAACATTCTTAAAACTGAGGAAAAATGTCATTTGTCACTGCTGTCTGTTGTTATGCCCCACAGTAAAGTAATACACACAAGTACACATTGCATTAGCTAATTGGGATATACCTGGGTTTGACAGGAGCAACATTGTAAATTAGAGGGGAGTTGGCTTGATCGGATCGAGTGAAGACAAGGAAGGTACAGAACCTAAGTTTGTTAACCTCCTCCCTTGTATTGTTCCAGTTCCACACTCCAGGCAGTAAATGTTCTGTACCTTTTCCCTTACCATGGCAGTAGCTGCAGTCTGTCAGTATTGGGTGGGGGACATGACAGCCTGTTTTTTGTGGGGGGGGGGGGGGGTTGTTTTTTTTTTTTTTTTTAAAGGATCATCCTAAGTTTTCTGTTTTATGACTTGCAATATCTTTATCAGTCTTGAATATGACAACCATTTTATTATGGAAGCTTCTAAGAACATGTGATTAACTTTTTATTGTTCCTAAATAAACATGAACATCAACTAAATCAAATCTACACAAACTTTCCCATATTTGGATGGAAAACATAGGTAAAGGTCAAGGAAGTGTTTAATTCTGATGTAAAAGCAGTTGATCAACTACATCAGTTCTGTTTTCCAGCAGTCTCCAAGATGGTATACGCTAGTACGTTCAAAAATTAGCAGCTGGGAAAGTGAAGGTTCTTAATGTGGTCCTGAGTCATCTACTTAAAATGTTGTGTTAGAGTGCTGCATGTGTTTTTCAGTGATTTAAATTCTATACAGTTAGTCTAAAGGAGAAAAGTAAACATTTTGATAGGGTCTTTTTTTTTTTTTTTAAAGAGTTACGAGTTGTTATCTAAGTGACATGTTTCAAATAAAATAGCTATTTTCATTTGTTAAGTAGTAAAGCTGTTCACTGAAATTTGTTTCTTTTTATTAGGTTTAAGTGGAAACCCTGCAGATTTAGAAAGAAGAGAAGCAGTGTTTGGAAAGAACTTTATACCTCCTAAAAAGCCAAAAACCTTTCTTCAATTAGTATGGGAAGCATTACAAGATGTCACTTTAATTATATTAGAAATTGCAGCCATAGTATCATTGGGCCTTTCTTTTTATCAACCTCCAGAAGGGGATAATGCACGTAAGTAAATGGAAAAAAAAAATACTTGTGCATGCGTTCAGCTCATTCATTTACTTAGACATAATAGTAGCCAGCCAACGTTTTTGACTGTTTGCCATTTGCTAGGATAGATAATTTTTATAGCTTATATAGCTTAGATAATTTTTTACAATATCCCTATGAGTTAGATAATAAGATAGTAAGTCCATTTTACAGTGAGGCACAAAGGTTAAGTCACCTGTCCATATCTGCATACTATGCATATGGCACAGACATGAGCAATTATATCACATGGTCTGTTCTAAGACAGTTTTTCAGGTTTTTTTAGAACATTATTACTGTAACATAATTCCAGTTTCTAATTTTGTATTTCTTCTGGAAAATATCATTATGAAAGCAAGTTCTCCTCCCAAATGTAGTACTTTTTAAATTCTCAAAATGTTTTCTTATATACACCATTTAGGTAATTTATATTTACCAAATGCAAATAACTTTGAAGTACTTCAGAGTTCGGAGTTGTTTTTTTTTCTCCAGATTTTAGAATTATTTACATATATATAAAGAGGTATCTCGGGGATAAGACACAGATGGAAACATGAAATTCATTTATTTCATATATACTTTGTAATACACCATTGACACATTGTTGAAGGTAATTTTATACAATATATTTTTAAAGGTTTATTTTATTTATTTGAAAAACAGAGTAACAGAAAAAAGAGTCTTCCATCCACTGGTTCACTCTCCAAATGGCTGCCTCCGAAGCCAGGAGCTAGGAGCTTCATTTGAGTCTCCCACAATAGGTTTAGGAGCCCAAGGACTTGGGCATTTTCTGCTGCTTTCCCAGGTGCATTAGCAGGGAGCTGGATCAGAAGTGAAGCAGCAGGTACTCGAACCAATGCCTATCTGGGATGCAGGAGCTGCAGACCAGGGCTTAACCCACTGTGCCACAACAGCGGTCCCTGTACAATATTTTTAATTTGTTCAGTTACATGTAAGTCAGTTTTAGAGAAAAGAATAACCTCAGATCATTTAATTTTCAAAGTATAACCGAGTACTATTCCTGAGAATCTGGTTACATGAAATAGCAATATTTTTAGTGTAAAAGAATATAAAATAAGTTATATTACCTGAAAATAAAAATCGTCATATAAAGATATCTTTTGTTCCATATGAAAATCATGAGATTCAGTTTCAGTCAGCAACAGGTATGAGGAATGCAGAAAGATGGCTCAAATCACCACTAGGAAGATGAAGTACCCAAATTCATGTCGATTTTTTTTGTGGCTCCTTTAAAACTTTGTAATGGTTATCAGTAGGGGAAGGATTCAGATTCTAGATTATATATCTGTATCTACATATAAAATTTCTTTATTTGAAAGGCAGAATTAGAAGGAGAGACCAAGAGAGAGATCTTCTGTTTGCTGGTTCACTCCACAAATAGCCACAGCTGCTGGGGCTGAGCCAGGTGGAAGTCAGGAGCTTCATTCAGGCCTCCCGCATTGGTGCAGGGGCCCAAGGATTTGGGCCATCTTCCACTGCTTTCCCAGGCACGCAGTGCTGGCCCCTCTAGAAGTATTTTACTGGTGTCTATTTTAAGATCATTCTGTTCCTATTTATATAATATAGAATAGAAATTTATCAATGTGTCTTTGGTGTTTTTAAAGTTCTCTTGAAGTATTTAGTAGATTAATGGTAAATATGCATGAGGGTTTTTTTTAAAATCTTATTTTATGTATTTGAAAGTCAGAGTTATAAAGACAGAGTCAGAGAGTGAGGTCTTCATCTGAGAGAGATCTTCCATCCACTGATTCACTCCCCAAATGGCCATAATGGCCAGACCTGGGCCAGACTGAGACAGGAGGCCAGAGCTTCTTCCAGGTCTTCACATGGGTGGTAGGGGCCCAAGCTCTTGGGCCATCATCTCCTGCTTTCCCAGGTGCATTAGCTGGGAGTATGATCAGAAGTGGAGCAGCTAGGACTTGAACTTTTGCCCATATGGGATGCCAGCATCACAAACAGCAGCTTATCTTACTACACCATGACACTGTCCCCTAATTACATATGTTTTTAACTGTGTCTACATAACATGAATGTTTTTAAACATATTCAAAAATAGAAACTGGGGTTTGGTACTCAACACTCTGCCTGCGGTACTAGCATCCCATATGGGTACCAGTTCATGTCTTAGCCGTTACATTTCCAATCCAGTGCTCTTCTATGGCCTGGGAAAACAGTAGAAGATGGCCCAAGTGCTTGGGCACCTGTATCCATGTGGGAGACCCAAAGGAAGCTCCTTGCTCCTGGCTTCCGATCAGCCCAGCTCCAGCTGTTGCGGCCATTTGGGGAGTGAACCAGTGAGTGGATGGAAGACCTTTCTCTATCTCTCCCTCTCTCTGTTTGTAACTCTGCCTCTCAAATCAATCTTTTTTTTTTTTTTTTTTTTAATAGAAACTGAATGAAAGGGTGAAGCTTAAAATTTTCAGTTTTTTAATTAGCCATAAAACTTTACTGTTAACCTAATTTGGGTCTAGGTATGATTTATCTCTTAACTTCGCTTCAGTGTCTGTTATAGCTGAAAAGCATGCAACATTATATAAACAGTTGTACTCAAATCAAAACTAATTTTCAGTTACACAGAGGTTCTGTTGAAGTATTTAGTGGTGTATTCCTTCTGATGGAAATCTGTTTTTAATGAATGACCTAAGAATCTAGCGAAATGCTTCATTGGAATATTTTAGCTGTGGTCTTCATGATATTTCAGCTTCATCTGTTCTTGAGTCCAGACTTGCTCTGATAAAGAGCTTAAGCTTTATTTTCTGGGTAGGAGGAAACATCTACTGTTTAAAAGATTGGAAACCTTAAGTACATTTAATTGATTACTATATACAATGATACGTGATCATTTCTTTAGCTTGAAAATAAGTGAGTCTCCAAAATAAGTAAAATGCCTTAGGGCTGAGATTTGATCTCTCTCTGTGTCCTTACTCTCTTAATCAGTATCCTAGACTGCCTTCCGATTCCTAGGTTCAGATTCTCAAAGGCAGGGAACTTGACATAGTAAGAATCCTTGTTGTGGAATGCAGTGAGTTCAGTAGAGTATCTAAGTAAAACTGGTGAAGTAAAATCATAATTAATGAAAACATATAGTTTGGACTTAGTGTTTGATGTCATGAGTACAGAAATTTTTTTTTATAACCATTTTCTTTCTTTCCAAATAGTTTGTGGAGAAGTTTCTGTTGGGGAAGAAGAAGGAGAAGGTGAAACTGGATGGATTGAAGGCGCTGCAATCCTCTTGTCAGTAGTGTGTGTGGTGTTAGTAACAGCTTTCAATGACTGGAGTAAGGAAAAGCAGTTCAGAGGCTTGCAGAGTCGAATTGAACAAGAACAGAAGTTCACTGTCATCAGGGGTGGTCAGGTCATTCAGATACCTGTAGCTGACATTACTGTTGGAGATATTGCTCAAGTGAAATATGGTAAGTAAAAAAATAATAAATCTGAAACTAAATATGCGATTATTATAATCTTGTTTACAGGTTAGCATATCATTTATTTTTTGTCTTAGGTGATCTTCTTCCTGCTGATGGTATACTTATTCAAGGCAATGATCTTAAAATTGATGAAAGCTCATTGACTGGTGAATCTGATCATGTTAAGAAGTCTTTAGATAAGGATCCTTTACTTCTATCAGGTAGGAATTTCTTTTGTAACTTTGAATTTTTCCTCTGCCACACCTGTGTACCATTGTCAATAAACATAGTTTCCCTGAGAGCTGATAATGTGAAAAAGGATCAGATTTTATGCTACCTTCCACCCTCGTGATTTTTAGAAACTTTTTTTTGGAAGCTGACATACATATCAGAGATCTTTGAATCCAGAGCTGTACTCATATATTTTTCCCATGAAGAACTTGAGTCTAAAAAAGTCGAGATTTGAAAGTCTGCATTAGTTCACATTAGTAGAATAATGAAGCTAAACTATAGGCCTACTGATACTATTAATTTTTTTAAAATCTTTTATTTTTCTGTTTGTTTTTTACCATCTGGTAGGTTTTTTTTCATATTAATGTGATCTGTTTTTCTGTATTTATTTTTTTTTTTAAATTATTTATTTACATGTCAGAGTTACACACAGAGAGAAGAGGCAGAGAGAGAGAGAGAGATCTTCCATCTGCTGGTTCGCTGGTTCGCTCCCCAATTGGCTGCAATGGCCAGAGCTGTGCTGATCCAAAGCCAGGAGCTGCTTCTAGGTCTCTGACATGGTTACGGGGCCCAAGGACTTGGGCCATCTTCTGCTGCTTCCCCGTATCATTGCAGAGAGCTGGATCCAAAGTAGAGCAGCCAGCCATATGGGATGCCGGTGCTTCAGGCCAGGGCTTTAACCCACTGCACCACAGTGCCGGCCCCTATGTTTATTCTTAAGACCAACAGAAGTAGGAAATTAAAGAATGTTTTTATGTTTAAAATAAGTTAATGAGTTATCTGTGATGGTCTACAAACTACAGGTTTTGAAAAAAATCATAAAATTCTTAAAATTTACTTTATCCAACTTCCTGATTTAAATTGCTGGATAACAAATGTGCGATATTCATAGGAGTAATCAGTAAGTCCAAGAGTAGCTCCCACATGAACTATTCAGGATTGAATTTGTACATGGTTAAGGATGTTCTAGGAATGGAAAAAGGAAAGATAGTAGGTGAGGACACATTTGAAAGGGGAAAAGTTGGTGTCTACTTGCAGGGCTTTACTGTGATAATTTGAGTTAAAGGTGATTGGAAACAAAGCACAAAGGATGATATGAAAAATTACAAGCTGCTTTTTAAACACTGAACAGAACTATAAGGACTATATTGTTAGACTGAATTTATGCTAGTTTTAAGGAAACCAAATGTTCTTTGTCTTCTGTCATTATCAGATATTAGTGGAATGCTAAAGGTACACACGGTGCACAAGATTACTGCCGATCTTCATTGCCAGCTGTAGTTTTCCAGAGCTCCGAGAGGTCCACATTTTAATTCAAAAGGCTTTTTCTGAAACTGAAGTCAAACTTACTTCATCAACACATGTCAGTTAGATTTGAATCACAACTTCAAAGCAGAACCTGTGTTTAGTCATTACCTTTTTGAAATGTAAATATTGTATTAGAGCAATTGTTTATATATACACATCTACCCAAACATCCTACTGTTAAAAAGATTACACGTTTGCATTTATATTATGTATGTATATAAATTATAGAGATAGCTTAAGTTCTAATTATAACATAGATGGATTTTTTCAAAAAAAATCTTAAGATTTCTTTACCTCTAGTAGCTACTTAGAACGCTTATGTCCTATTTGAGTTTTTGTTTGTGTTTGTTCCTGTAATTTATACCAAATAGAAATATCTTAGACATAAAAATATAATGTATTTAAGTAATGTATACTCATTCTGCTTATTCATTGCCATGCTCCCAAGAAACTAGTTTACCAAATAAAATCTTTAACCTTTCCAAAAGGAAGAGATCATACCTAATTATACCTCAGTACCAGAGACTAACTGGGCCATGTTATTTGGCTAACTGCCTTTTGCTATCTATACTTTGTGGACTTTTATGTACATCTGGCTTATTTACATAGTGCTTAGCTCTTCAGGTTGATTTCCTTTAACTGAACTTTGGTCTTTTTCTGTTTTAACAGAGATTACTGGTAAGCTTTGTGAGGACGCAGGTTCCTAACACACCAAGTATATTGAGAAATCTATAAATTTTCCATGCTTAAGAAAAGACTGAAATAACTTTGTAGAGTTCCTTATCGCAGCATGGGTGGGAAAGTTTTTCTGCATTTATTTCCCTGTTCCAAAAATGTACTAAAAAACATGACATGCATTTATTTTTAAATTTACTCTCATGATGCCATCTCTCTCTGCTGTTCTTGGCTTCTTAAATTTAGATTTTCAAAAGCAGTTTTCAGTTAGCAGTAGGGATATGACCAGAACAAAAACCCTTTACTTTGCCTGAGCACATTAACTGCCAACAACTAATCAGACCTGTGGTAAGAAAGAACAGAACATAAAAAATCTTCAGAAAGCCTGAATTGTTAAAAGAAACAAATTGTCTTTTATATGTAGTACTTAGATAATATTTCCTTTGTATTTTTCACTTGCGAAGAGGCTAATAACTAGTGAAATATTCAGAATATAGATTTTTTTAAAAGCAAGAAAAGCAAAGACATAAAAGATTTATGTTGGCTAAGTCACTTGATAATTAATAGATACAAATTCTTCAATCCTGTAGTAAGCAAGTGCATGATACTTTATGATCTTATTCAGCAAATAACTTTGAGCACTGGTTTATTACGTAGGATGGTGCTAATGGTTACAGACCCCAGCCTGGAAATAGGTTGTGAACTAGGAGATAAAATACAAATAAATGACAACATTAATAAAGAAGGTCATATTGAAAATAAAAAGAAAATAGAGAGTAGACTAAGTTTTGAAGACTACTTAATTTCCAAAACGATTGGAATGGAGGGATGGGAAGCTTTTTAGTAAAGGCCATTACAGAGGTGTGGGTATGCAAGTTAGAGAACTGTAGGTAAACATCAGTATAAGATTATACCCTTTGTCCTCTGAATGATGCGGAATAATTCTTTGCCCTGCACCTTGATACTTACTTAACTGAGGCAAGTTTATTGAAAATAAGAATAATAAAATCTGCCAGCTTGCAAAACTGTTGGGACAGAGTAAAAATGCAGTGTTCCTGTCTCTACTTGCTGGCTTTCTTTAGTGGCTCTTAACTTCCTGTGAATGCACTCCTTGATGGGTACCTCCCACCCTCGTGGGAGACATAGATTGCATTCCTGGCTTCTTGCTTTGGTTGGCCCTGCCCTGGCTGTTGAGGGCATTTGAGAAGTGAACTATGAGTGGAAGGTATGTGTGTGTGTGTGTTTGTCTCAGTCTTTCAAGTAGAATGAAGAATTAAATAACTTAAGATAACCTGAAAAGCCTGAAACATTGGTCTCAAGCTAGGGATCTTGGATTTAATGCAGTAGTCAGTGTTGTCAGAAATTGTGTGCCATGGAAATCATGTTTTATAGGAATATTAGAACAGATTTCAGGATAAACTGGAAAGGCAGAAAGACCAGGTAGGGAGATATTGTGGTAATCTAGGCAGTGAGTCTGGTCGAGTGTGGGAAATGTGACGTTCGTTGCTGAGAAATTTTTTGGGTTCTAAGTACAGCACTTTATAAAAATAATATACTTTTCAGATAAATGTTCCTCATAGTTTAGATTGTAATTAATACTAATGAGCATTCATTGATCCTTTTCAAATTCCAGAAAGTGAATTCTTTACAGTTATAGATATGAGAAGTGTAAATCACCTTACGTTTCTGTAAGCTGTTTCCATTTTACAAAGGATGAATTGAGATGCTATAATTTGTCTAATGTCAAATGGCAGAATAGTGGTAAAGTGATCTTTGAACTCAAATGTGACTGATTACAGAGTTAAAACCTTATACAGAAGAATTTAGGCTTTATTTAATGTCTTATTAAATGTATTTTATTAAGTATTAAGAATATTAAACACAGTATTACTGAAATTTGATGGTAGGAGTGAAATCTGTTATAATTTATGAGAAAAGTTTTCTGTTGTTGTAGGTACTCATGTAATGGAAGGCTCTGGAAGAATGGTAGTTACAGCTGTAGGTGTAAATTCTCAAACTGGAATTATCTTTACCTTACTTGGAGCTGGAGGTGAAGAGGAAGAGAAGAAAGATGAAAAGAAAAAGGAAAAGAAAAGTAAGAATAGCAAATTGCTTTAAAAACTGCTGTTTGAAGACATATCAACTAGATTATAAGAACTGGTACAAAAAACAGACTTCTTTCATGAAACTTGAATATAAAAAATTCTGCCACAAGTTAATTAACCAGTATTGTATTTTCAAGTGGTGAAACTAAAGAAGAGAATCTTTTTTTTTTTTTTTTTTTAGATTTAATAGTCCATTAAAGGGCCTTCATTGATGTCATCAATACCGTTACCCCAGCAAATACATCATCTACTTGTACACTTCCATTGGCTTTATTCTGTTCTTGAGTTTTAGTCTCACCTGTCACTTGATGAGTAAAAAGAACTTGAACATTCCCTATTTGGTTTGTTTGTTTGTTTTCCTTCTGTTACTTCAGTTGTAACCTCCTTTGTCAACTGTATCATATTTTGGTCTCATTGAGCTTTTACCCTTTTCAGATTTCTGTTCACATTTCCAATTCTAATACTTGGACAGTTACTTTCTGATGCAAGCCCATGGCTTTATTTTGACACCTTATGTTTGTTGTGTTTTATGTATTTGGCCCATTATTTGATTGCAAGACCTTTCAAATTTTGTTTGATTCATTGTATCTGCTCTCCCTTTGAGTGTTCCTTCCTCTGCAACCTTGATAACCACAGCAACAAGGATCTTCTATGGAACACTGTCACGTGTGGGGCAGGAAGGCCAGTTTTAAAAGCTCTCTTCACCCTTCTTAGAATCTGCTGTACCTTTCTCTCACACCCAGAATCATTCCTCTGAATCATTTCCCTTTAGGTTGATAGCAGTTTACTGTGGTTTGCCCAGTTAGATTTGTTTAATTTTATTTAGGATAGTAAACCCATATTTCTCTTTCTTATATGGATATTTTGAGATCTTCTAAATAAATGCCTTTCTAAATAGAATTTTGGCTTGCCCTAACTACAGCAGTGTCTTAATATTTAAGTAGTTTGTTCTTTGAGTTTTATCTTTAACTATGAAATCCATTTCAAGTAAAAATGTAGTTGGAAAGTGGTGGCTAAAGCTGAAGGTAGCAAGTTCGACACTCTAGGTTTTCCTCTCTCAGCTCTTGATGTTCCTCTATAGCTTTCTTCAGTCAATAAGTCATGATTCTACTTATTGAGTGCTTTGCATGAATTGCCCCATTAGTCCTCATAACCATACAAGGTAAAGACTTACTCTTTTTACTGATCAATAAACCAAGGATTGTGGAGGTTATGTAACTTGTTACAGGTCAAAGTATTAATAAATGCCAAATCTTCTTTTCTCTGGCTCAAGAATCTAAATGCCCCACCCTAATAACGGGAATTGAAAGTTATCATCCTCCGCTGATAAAGTTGTATCATGACTTTATTCTTATTGACCAAAAAATATATTTTTCTAATAAGCGCCTTTTCTCCTCATGTCTTTTTCTTAATACAAAAAAAAAAAAACTAAGGAATTAACATTAATCCATTGTCTACCTTTTTTTTTTTTTTTTTATTTCTTAGACAACATCTTTTCATCTGTGGACTGCTGACACTTTTCCCATTCCCTTTATTATGTTGGCAATTACTCAGCAGTCCAGGGCAATCTGTCTTAGTTCCTTTAGTAGCTTGGAATGTGGCTGATTGGTCTCTCCAAACTTGAGCTTATTGAAAATACCTAGGTGTTTTCTTACTGTCTCCTTGACTCTCTTGAGCTTCTGTTTCTTCTTGCCCAAGCTTTACTACCTGGCCTTTCCTGTCTTTTATCCATACCGTTTTTATTCTTATTCTCATCAAAGCTCTCCTGTGTGCCTGTTTTTCTTTTATTATATTATTCTCTTCCCTCCCTCCCTCCCTTCCTCTTTCTCTCTCTTTTTCTCTCTCTCTCCATCCTGCCTTTTTCTGCTTTCTTAGGGTTGGATCTATCTATATTTGGTTTTGAAAGCTTCTTAGGCTGTATTTTGGTTTATTATAGCTTATAAGAGTAAAGTTTTTTGGCAAAAGAAAGCAAGTAGAGATACCTTAAATTATTTTGGATTAAACAGGCCACATGGTACAGGCCACATGTTTGATAATCTCTAGAGACAAACTAAAACATACCCCGATTGTGTAACAATTCTATTACAGAAATGTGAACTACTTCTACATAATTTAGCATGACTGTTCAATTCTTTGGAAACCCTTAATTCCTATTTTGTTCCTACAGATAAGAAACAAGATGGAGCTATTGAGAATCGCAACAAAGGTAAATTCAGGAGGATAACAGTTCCCTTAGCTTGTTTTTATTATATCCAAAAGCAGTTCTATTGTGTGTTACATTCATCTGAACATAGGATACGTACTACAGCAGGAAAAATCAACAGTAAATGTTAACTGGGTTGATCTTGTCCTGCTACTACCTTAGTCACGTTTTCTCTGCAGTGTTAATAAGATTTTTATGTGATTTCTGGTAAGCTTATGTAGGTAATTTTCAACCTAAGTGTTTCAAGTATTTTAATACTGATTATTATATAGTTAGTAAAAGTGATAAAGGAACAAAAATAGAACATAAATGTCTTTTGCATTTATTTGAGTACACATATACATACATATTTATACATGTACATATGCATATTTCTCTGGATATATGTGCATGTGTAATGTTCTATTTATGGTGGTAAGTTGTATGGGAGGGATTTATGATGTTCAGGTACTACCTAACAATACCGAAGAAGAAAATGATTCAGTATTCTTTAGTTCTTAGTTTAAGGAACCTGTTTCTTCTTTCACCTCATCCCCTTACCTAGCACAACATTCTCAAATCTGTTAGAAAGTTTCATGACCTAATGTCACTATTGTCTTATTTTCTTTGTAGACACTCCCCCACCCTCTCTGCATATATTCCAGAATACCTATGTGTTTTCTCGTTTCTATAAAAAGCTGATTTGTTGTTACTTGTCTTCAAAATGTTAATAGTGATATGTGCCTTTAAAGTGTAGTGAAGTTACATTTGCTGTTGATATAGCAAAAGCTCAAGATGGTGCAGCCATGGAGATGCAGCCTTTGAAGAGTGAAGAAGGTGGAGATGGTGATGAAAAAGATAAGAAGAAAGCAAATTTGCCAAAAAAGGAAAAATCTGTTTTACAAGGGAAACTTACAAAGCTAGCTGTCCAGATTGGCAAAGCAGGTATAAAATATAGAAAAACATAAGGTGCCTTGTTTTAAAGTACACCAGTTTCCTGCTTAAGAATTGTCTTTTGATATAAGGCCAGAAATTACTTTTTTGTTAGTGGTAGGGTAATTAAGAAAGTATTTTCATTTTTATCTACAATGTGCCAGGCCCTTGGAGTTATTACGTTGAGTAAATTGTCTTCTGTCAACTTGCTTTTCCAGGTAATAGTTTAGGACTAGCAGCCATGTCGGTACATTTTATAATCCCACACATTCATATCTGAATTTCTCAATTTCTGGAGATGGTAGAAGAAGGGCTAGCAATGAGGTTATTTTTCAGTACAGATTATCCAACTATATCATAGTAAAACAAATTATCACATATTTTGCTTTTCCTTTCACTATGAAAAAATTATTTTTTAAAACAATAGTTTAGTTCAGCTGAATGGAATTTTCATATCGAGTCTCAAGTTACTAAATAATTACCATCTCTAGAAAATTCTTATTAATAGAACCATTCTTTAGGATAAAACCAGAGCTGGTAGATGAAGAAGAGCATGCCTTACAACATTATCATCTTTTTGGTTAATCAGCATATATTGTTAAAATTACTTAATTCTTATCATTCTACTTCCTTAGAAGTATGTTAGAAAAAGCGAAGTTTTTGTTTATGTCTGCAAAAAACTTACCTATTAGCAAATATCTGCTTTATTTATGAATCTAAATATCCCAGAAATTATATAACTGTTTTCTAATACATGATTAACTCTTGATTTTATAAGAACATATCAGAAATAAGAAATAATAATTCATTTTATTATATAATATTTTTAAATATGGGGTTGAATATTTAATTCTAGCACTCTCCATTGCTCAGATTCTTACCAGCTTCTCTTTCATCATTAGGCAACTTTCCTCTTGACAATGTAAATCACCGGCTTTTGATATTTTCTTTTTTTTTTTTTTTAAGATTTATTTTATTTATTTGCAAGAGTTACAGAGAGAGGTAGAGACAGAGACAGAGAGAGAAAGAGAGGTCTTCCATCAGCTGATTCACTCCCCAGATGGCCGCAACGGCCGGAGCCACACCAATCCAAAGCCAAGAGCCAGGAGCTTCTTCTGGGTCTCCCATGTGGGTGCAGGGGCCGCAAGACCTGAGCGCAGTCTTTTTTTTTTTTTTTTTTTTGTTTTTGACAGGCAGAGTGGACAGTGAGAGAGAGAGACAGAGAGGAAGGTCTCCCATGGGGTGCAGGGCCCAAGCACTTGGGCCATCCTCCACTGCACTCCCTGGCCACAGCAGAGAGCTGGCCTGGAAGAGGGGCAACCGGGACAGAATCCGGCACCCCGACCTGGACTAGAACCCGGTGTGCCGGCGCCGCAAGGTGGAGGATTAGCCTAGTGAGCCCCAGCGCCGGCCTTGCTGTCTTCTACTGCTATCCCAGGCCATAGCAGAGAGCTGGATCCAAAGAGGAGCCAGCAGGGGCTAGAACCAGCACTCATATGGGATGCCAGCACTTCAGGCCAGGGCTTTAACCTGCTGTGCCACAGTGCCGGCCCCTTAATATTTTCTTATCATTGCCTGTCTCAGCTTTAGTAGCAGACGGAAGATACAATTAATTCTAAGAAAATATTGTAAATGCTACTCTCCTAATTAGTTCTCTGGGGGACAGGGCTATATGCTGAAGCAAAATTAAATCTGATAGTGTTCAGTGATGAGTTGGGACCAACATGTAACTGGCAGTGGTTACTGTCTGGAATGTTTAATTTGTTTCTTTCTTTAATTTTGAAAGGTCTATTGATGTCTGCCATCACAGTTATCATTCTTGTATTATATTTTGTAATTGATACCTTCTGGGTTCAGAAGAGACCATGGCTTGCTGAATGCACACCAATTTACATTCAATATTTTGTGAAGTTCTTCATTATTGGAGTTACAGTTCTAGTGGTTGCAGTGCCAGAAGGTCTTCCACTTGCAGTCACTATCTCACTGGCTTATTCAGTCAAGGTAAGTGGATAACAGTAGTAGATGTGTTCTATATTCCACTCATGTAGAAAAATGTGTATCCTTTTCTGGTCCTGAAAGTGGAGAATTTCCATAAATGTACACTGTTTTCTTTCGAAATTTCATTGATAGTTCCATGCACCTCTCCCTTTGAATGTCTCAGTATATAAAGACGTGTGTTCCCTGGAGGGCAGCCATGACATCATGCTGAACACAACTCTGCTAGGCAGAGCTCTAGCCTGATTTTATTAAGTGGCAGTCATAAAGGCACGTCTCTTTCTCCTTTCCATCTGTAAAGTAAAGGTGATGATATTAGACATTTAGCTTTAGTATAAGAGTTTCCCTCAAATCTGAACTCCCAAGGCCTTCCTGTTTTCTATTTAGCCATCCCCACAGTTGACCCACAACCTGATTGTCACACTTTGTAGGCAGACTCTATTTCCAAAATATGTAATTCAAATAATGTTATTTCCTCACAAAAAATCCTTCACTGTCTTCTCATCATCCCTAGAATAAAGTCCAAACACCTTACCATGGCCTCCAACATGCTGCCCAGTCTGGCCCTTGCTTATATGCCTCTCACTTCTCACCTTTTGCCCTGTTATCCTCAGGCCTGGCCTTGCCAACCCTCCTGCTGGTTTTCAAAAATCCCAGCTGTGTTCTCACTTAAGTACTCATTTGTTTCTTCTTTAAATAACCCACTCTCTTACTTTATTCACGTCCCTTCAAATGTCATGTTCTCTGGCCACTGAACTTAAACTGGCTCAGTCTTTATTTTCCAAGTAGAATGCTAACAAATGTGCTTTGATGACTTCTGTAAACCTAAAGTAATAATCTGTTTGAAGGTTATTCACTTGTTTATTAATTTTATAACTTATATGGAAAAGGTTTATTGGAGCTTTTAAAGGTTTCGCTTGGACGGTGTTTACCTTTCTTTCAAAATGGTTTTTCAGGTAAAAAAGTGTACACTTAATGGAAGACTGCTGCTCTAGCAAATGTTCAAATGTTAATTAGCAGTTCTCCTTAGGCAATATTGCTGATTGTGAGCAATATAAAGTAATTATTCATAGTTTCTGCTCTCTCCTTTTATCTTCAGTATTCCAAAATGTTTTACAATGGACCTGTCATGATAAGCATGTTTTTTGCTTACTGCTGCAGTTTATTTTCTTTTCAGACATTTTATACTTTTTCCCAGAAATAAAGCGATAAATGTAATGTATCAAATGATGAATTACAGTATGAGCAGCTATTTCTCCTTTTTGGATGTTTTAAAAAAATTAGAACTAATTGGGGTAAATAAAATTGATCAGTTGTTTTACTAATCCTACCACTTCTTCTTCTTCTTCTTCTTTTTTTTTTTTTTTTTTAAGATTTATTTTATTTATTTGAAAGACAGTTACAGAGAGAGGTAGAGACAGAGAGGTCTTCCATAAGACCTCACATAATCTGAAAGATATAGGCAGGATTGATTTGAGTTCCTTAAATGAAAAATGAATAAGAGCATGTTAATTACTTTAAGCATTTTATTCAATGCTCATTTACCCATTATGATCTCAGTTACTGTTCTCTTCACTGAGGTGCAGTTTCTTGGATCCTCTGTGAGTGTTTCACAAAATTAAACACATTTTATTTACTACAGAACTTCATTCTTTTAATCTTTAATACACACATTACTAGTAATTTGTGGTGTTACATATCTCTCAAGTTGATTTCTTCAAGGAATCTTGTATATTCGTTACAGAAAACATCTTGTAACAAACCTTTGTAGTTTTTAACTCATTTTACATGTATATTGAGAATTGTATTTTATCTTAAATGCCCTTTGGAACTACTTAAAACAACTCCAGTAATTTTTTTTAAGAAATTATCTTTTCAGTTGCTCTAAATGTGAGACCTAAATGTAAGACACTTTTAAATCCTTTGGGTGAAAATACCAAGCCTACCAGCTTATGAGTAGATAAAAATGTTTCATTCTGATTTTAATGTATTGAATTATCAGTTTAAAAAATCAAGCAGCCGAATGCCCTTAAGCTCTTTACTGATAAGCTTAGAAATTCAGTTCAATGTAAAGCAGTTTATAATCATTTTTCTGTAATAAGGTGGTTGAATTTATATGTAGCTTAACTAGATTTTGTTTGTTGTCACTGTAGAAAATGATGAAAGATAATAATTTGGTAAGGCATCTGGATGCTTGTGAAACCATGGGAAATGCTACAGCTATTTGTTCAGATAAAACAGGAACATTGACAATGAACAGAATGACAGTTGTTCAAGCTTACATAAATGAGAAACATTATAAAAAGGTTCCTGAACCAGAAGCTATTCCACCAAATATTTTGTCATACCTTGTAACAGGAATTTCTGTGAATTGTGCTTATACATCAAAAATACTGGTAAGATTTCTTTAATAATTAACTTATATACATAACAAGTAGTATTTACATATATAATTTTAGATCATGTGTGATTGTTAAAGCCTACCATTAAATTGAATTGTGTTCCTATTTTAAAGGCATTTTTCTGTATAATGTATATTCATTTCTTTTGATATGATTTTACTGTGAGTAATGACTTGATCAGCATTAGAATTATTTATTTTTCTCTTGTGTTTTGAATTTCTTAAGTTTAGAAATTCTCAAGTTTTATAATTAGAACATGTCATAATCTAAAATTCTAATTAAGCTTATTTTGTGAAAGACCCAGCTTTTTCATTTTTTTTCTTTTTTGAAATTTTATACTTCTAAATGTTCTCTCTTTTTTTAAGATTTTATTTATTTGAAAGGCAGAGTTAGAGAGAAAGAGAACTTCCATCTGGTGGCTCATTCCCCAAATGACTGCAGCAGCCGGATCTGGGCAAATCCAAAGCCAGGAGGCTGGAGCTTCTTAAAATCTCTCACACGGCTGCAGGGGTCCAAGGACATTGGCCATCTTCTACTGTTTTCCCAGGCCATAGCAGGGAGCTGGATTGGAAGTGGAACAGTCAGGACTCATACCAGTGCCTATATGGGATGCCGGCACTGCAGCCAACAGCTTTACCTGTTACACCACAGCGACGGCTCCAAGACCCAATCTTGGACTGTAGACAGTCAGTTCGTAACTTTGTTGGGAAAAATACAAAGCCAGATTTAAGCTTACAATATTTTAAATATGTTTACTTCTTCAGTTCATTTATGATTAATGCAATAAAAAATTCTGGACTTACATCATCTTACATTAAAACATTTTCTTGGCAAGGTTTAAAAATCTTAATTATAGCAGCATGCATGAAATCTTTGACTTGATAACTAGTGACTTACGAATTAAAATGAACAAAAATAATAGTAAGTAGTTAGTGCAAATATATATGAATTAGATGATTCGACTGGAAAGTTATGGGATCTTGGTTCTAGATCTGACTTTGCTTTTTATTAGCTGAAAATCTGAGCTTTACTTTATTTAGTTGTTCAGTAAATATGGTCACTTCTGACCTAAACAGATCTTTGTGATGATTATATAAAGTAGTATTTGTGAAGGGACTGTCAAGGAAGTAAAGCTTTTCAATATATTTAAAACAATAAAATTGGTAGATTTAATTTTGAATTACTAATACAAAAATATTTAGTAAAAACAGGAAAAGAAAAGGGAAATTAGTTAAAATTTTAAGTCTCTCAGTATATCAGGAAACAACGGTAAATTCTGTATGTTTTATATCATTTAATTCTTGGGTCATACATGCTACTGTTTTGCAGATGCTGAAGCAAGGACCACAGCAGTTGGGTAACTTGACAGATGTTCATGTAACTAATATCTGGCAGGGCTGACATTGGAATCCATGTCATTCTCACCTCAAGCTCCTTTCTACCTGAATTTTCTTTGTCCTCCTTTGAAATGTTGATATTAGTAAATGTTTCCTATATAATTTTGTTTTATTGTGTCGCATTCTGTTTTACATTACAAGTTAACTTTTTCCTTACATAACAAGATGATTCTAGATTCTAAACTTTTTCTCTTACAGCCACCAGAAAAAGAGGGTGGATTACCGCGTCATGTTGGTAATAAAACTGAATGTGCCTTGTTGGGACTTCTTTTGGATTTAAAACGAGATTATCAGGATGTTAGAAATGAAATACCAGAAGAAGCACTGTACAAAGTCTACACCTTCAATTCTGTTAGGAAGTCCATGAGTACCGTCCTGAAAAATTCAGATGGAAGTTTTCGAATATTCAGCAAGGGAGCATCTGAGATAATTCTGAAAAAGTAAGAGTAAACTGCTTCTATGAATAAATTGCTGACTATAGTTGCTTTATGGAATACCTTCCTTGTTGTTGATGTTGTTTTCTTTTTGTGAACATCAGATATTTGATCGGACCTCAGCTTTTTTGCATAATTTGTGGTATTCAGATTTCTGCCCGTAGTATTCTGCCATTTTCACACTTGAGTTTTTCTTATTTCTTAGTATTTTGCTATAGGGAAAATAAGTCCGTTACATTCAATCTGGTAAATTTAATGAAGTAAGCTTTGTCATTTTTTTTCTAGACATATTTACTTCATTGTTACATAGGATCGTGAAAAATAAAAGCCTTCTGTGAAGAAAAATTGAGATTCTGTGAAGAAAAATTGAGATTCATATCATCAACAATGCAGTGTAATTAGTAGACCCTGAATGTGATCATTTTAGAATAGCAAAGCATTAAAGTTAGATCTTAAAAATTCATCTTTTATATGACAGTTTATCATATTTATGCAGTTGCATTATGATATTTAAATATCTCCTGTCATTTTGAATAATATTTTTACTGTCCTTTTACAGATTATAGCTTTAGTTTTGACATTAAATATTTACGTATAATTTCCCTAGTATTTCTCTGTCATTACAGGTGTTAAATTATTTTGGTTTCTTTAATTCCACTTAAGAAGTAGAAAAAAGTAGTTTTACAAAAATCCTAAAGTAGCTTTAGAAAAATTAATGGTAATTTTAGAAATTGGAACTCATTTGAAATTTTAATGTTTAAAATATTTCTACTTTTTTATGTATGTTTAGAGTATAATTCGTTGTTATCTTAATGGACACTTGATTGCTTGAATGCAGTGTTACAGGTTTAAGATACAAGTACATAAATGAAAAGACAGCATATGATAAACAGGTGCAGAATTTTAAGGAGAGATTGCACTATGGGAATGTGGCATTTAAGACAGTTTTTACTGTAAGGTGAGAACCTTAAGGTGAAGGAAGACACAACAGAAGAAGGGAAATGGGACATGCAGGTTCTATTGGGATTATTCAGTTGTTGAGTGTCCATCAACTCAATAGCGATGGGCTTTTGTGGCACATGGGCCATATAGAGCTTTCTTCACTTCCTACGTCACTTGGTTATTTGGTTAGAAATGTTTCAACCCTCGCTTGCTGGGTAGTAGATACATGGTATAGGAAAGATTCAAAATCACAGCCAGTCAAACTTCACCCCTGCAACTACCAAGCTCTGGAATCTGGGGCAGAATTTCTCCATAGATTCCATTTTCTTTCACTGGGAAATAGGTGGTAGCCACTAACTCTGAGAGGGAAATAAAATAATGTATGTAAAGTGTCTAGTATAGATACTGATACATAGTAGTATAAAGTATATACATATATGTATGTATTATACTTTACCCTAATATAATATTCATATTCTATAATGAATATTAAAAAATATAAACTGCTAAGCAGTTAGAGCTTACATTGGCCAGATGGTGCAGCTGGAATGATTTTTATCATCAGGTAGTGCAGCCATACATACGATGACAGAAGATAATTCTTGCATCAGGGAATAAAGTAAGTTGGGGAAAGAAGGGATGAATTAGAGACAATTTCATTAAAAAGCTATTGCTATTACAACAGTTTATCTTGAAGTGAGTACCAAAAGAAGATAATAGCAAGGAGAATAAAAAGGAGCAGACACATTGAGTAGACTAATTATGTAGGACTTAAGAGCTCATAATATATAGGTGATAAGTGAAATTTCTTATGATTATCAACATAATTCAAATACAGGGGTTGCCAATAGATAGGCAGTAAGGAGGCCACTAGCAGACTTTGATGCAATAAAGTTAAGGTATGGGCTCAGCATTTAGATGGAATTTCTCAGCAGTGATGGAAAAACACTCAAAACAGATTTGGATACGGGCGTCATCTCCATTAAAGCAGGAGGTTGGCCGGCGCCGCAGCTTACTAGGCTAATCCTCTGCCTTGCGGCGCCGGCACACCGGGTTCTAGTCCCGGTCGGGGCGCCGGATTCTGTCCCGGTTGCCCCTCTTCCAGGCCAGCTCTCTGCTGTGGCCAGGGAGTGCAGTGGAGGATGGCCCAAGTGCTTGGGCCCTGCACCCCATAGGAGACCAGGAGAAGTACCTGGCTCCTGCCTTCAGATCAGCGAAGTGCGCCGACCACAATGTACCGGCCGCAGCAGCCATTGGAGGGTGAACCAACGGCAAAGGAAGACCTTTCTCTCTGTCTCTCTCTCTCTCACTGTCCACTCTGCCTGTCAAAAAAATAAAAATTAAAAATAAAAATTAAAAAAAAAAAGGCAGGAGGTAATATCACCTGGAGATAGAAGTATAGAGAGTTATTGTGAAAAACAAACTTTATGTAGGGAACTGTACAGCATGACTTTTATTTACTACATAATTTTTTAAAGTTTGTTTTTTAGTTTCTCTGTAAATAGTGCTATTTTGGCATTATCTCTCTTTGATAGAAAGCTTTTTTAACAGTAAGGTTTTTTTGTTTTTCGTTTTGTTTTGTTTTTTTGTTTTTGTTTTCATGGTTAAAACAGTAAGTGATGAAATAACCTCTCAGGTAAGGAATTGATGAAGGTTGATTTTTTTGTGTTAATTAAAATCAATGTCTAATTCTGTACCAAAATGGCCAGGTGATAGTTTATTCTCATTTGACACTAGGGATTCTTTGTGTAAGTTTTAAACATTGTATTTCCAAAATGGGAGGTTTAGAGAGTGTCTCTAGAGTAATTGGAGTGGGAGAGAACTATAACTCACAGGTCAAAACTGCAGAGTGAAAAGTGAATATGCGTAATTCTTGAAATTTCCAGATTATCAGATCCCATGATTTCTAGCCCTTCCAGTTCACTTAATTGGCATTAACCATTATTTTTGTTATTTATTGATGTTTGGATTCAACATTTCCTTTTAGGTGTTTCAAAATCTTGAGTGCTAATGGTGAGGCAAAAGTATTCAGACCAAGGGACCGTGATGATATTGTAAAAACTGTGATTGAACCGATGGCATCAGAAGGCTTGAGAACCATATGTCTTGCATTCAGAGATTTTCCAGCAGGAGAACCAGAACCAGAGTGGGATAATGAAAATGATATTGTCACCGGCCTTACATGCATTGCTGTTGTGGGGATTGAAGATCCTGTGAGACCTGAGGTGGTGAAACATTCTGTGTTCTGCATGTGCAGAATCTCTTCATATAGAGGACCTAGGCATTAACTGTAACCAGTTTTCTAGTAAAATTCTTGGTGTTTGTGATTCTTTTGTTGCATATGGTACCTTTTTGTGGGTTGTAATTAGCCTCTTTTTGAGATTTTTTTGTGTTTCAAGCACTAAAACCCACATAGAACAATGCCCTGAATTTGTTATGTTTTTCAATTTATATTTATCTTAAATTAAATCATACATGATAGGAATTGAATTGTTTTCATAGTCCTGAGTGCACTACTGTCCAACAGAGCTTTCTGTGATGATAGAAAGGTTCTATTTATTGTTTAGTATAGTAGCCACCAGCTATGCAAGGCCACAGTGTTCTTGATATGGCAAGTGAAATGCAAGACTGATCTGTTTTATGTAAACATCTGGCTAGTGGCTACCACATTACTTTACTTTTTGTCCTTTTAAGATTTTTCTTGGTTTGTTTGCTATGAACTTACTCATTTATTAAGGTTTTTTGAACAGTCTCTGTGTTCTAAATAGTATCCTAAGTACCAGGGATATTAATAGCTTTGAAAATCTGGTCCCTAGCCTTGAGGAAGTCATTGATTTGGGTGGATATGGGCAAACACCTAGGATGTTAGTGCATTGCTGGATAAGTATATGAAACATGGTATTATGAACAGAGAACACAAACTTTCAACCTAAAGTAATAACATTTTTCTTGTTGAATTCTCACTGTTTGCCAGATATTATACCAAGTGAGAAGAGATGAGGTTTGGCCTTGCAAAGTTTAAAGCCTACAAATTTTATTTTAAAATTCGGGTTGGGAAAGTTATATGATTTATGTTTTAAAGTACTATTTTAGGTACTCTGTAAAAAAAAAATGGATTAGAGAGATTAATGCATAGAAGAGGGAAACCAGTAATATTACTGCAGTAATCAGTTGCTGGCAGGAAATGTTCACAGTTTGCACAACACTTGTGTCAGGGAACATGGAAAGAAAGGTGCAATTTTAAAGTAAATGGAGATGGACCCCTAGAAATAAATGTGTTTAGTTTAAGTATACTGGTTTTATTTTTGTTTTAAAGATTGATTTATTTACTTGAAAGTCAGAGTTACAGAGGGAGATCTTGCAGCCATTGGGGTAGGGACCCAATGGATGGAAGATTTAAGTATAGTTTAAGCATACTGGTTTTATTTTTGTTTTAAAGATTGATTTATTTATTTGAAAGTCAGAGTTACAGAGGGAGATCTTCCATCCATTGGGTCCCTCCCCCAATGGCTGCAACAGCTAGATCCTCGTCTCCCATGTGGGTTCCTGGGACCCAAGCACTTGGGCCATCTTCTGCTGCTTTCCCAGGCACATTAGCCCGCAGCTGTATCAGAAGTGGAGCACCAAGGACATGAATTGGCACCCATATGGGATACTGGCCTTGTAAGTAGAGGCTTAACCTGCTACACTACAATGGCAGCCCCAAAGTCACTAACTGTTTTTACATTATTGTAGTGTCTGAGCTATCCAAATGAGTGCCAGGTGGGCCTTACGTCTCATGTTCTCAAAGTGACTAAAAGGCCTGGAGGAAGTGTGAGGTAGCAGCACAGTTAAGTCTGAAAAAGGAAGTAAAATTAGTCTCTCACTTGGATATTTGATGGGTGTTGGGGGGTATTGTCAGTGTATGAAGACAATCAGAAGGAACAGCTTGTCAAGAGATCAGGATAAATTCGGGTTTTGGGTGTTGGAGTTTCAGATGCTTATGAAATAACAGCCAGATGTTAGCCAATCTTTGGTGATAGGAAAACCATTCAAGGTTTTATGCATTGATTTATATGTTGCCTAAAATCTAATCTGGATGTCTACAACCTATGTTTTCTGGAAAACATTATGTTTTTGGCATTGAGGTTAATTGAGAGTTTTACCTCTTTAAAAAATTTGACTTTTTTTTTAATATCACAAAATGAGATGAGTACCTTTATACTAAAATGTATATAATGTACTACATATAAATGCATATACTATACTAAAGTGTATATGAAAATACCCTAAGAGGTATTCCAAACGGTGCAGTTTTGAGGTAGGGAATGTTGATTAGGTAACTAGAACAAATCTAGTTTTCTTGTGTATGCATAGGTACTTGAGCAAGATACTTGGCCTTACTTCAGTTATTTGTAAAGGTGAAGGTCATTAGTTTAATTTTTTTAAAAGATTTATTTATGTATTTGAAAGGCAGAGTTACAGAGAGAGACGATCTTCTATCCTCTGAGGGTTCACTTTCCTGATGGCCATAATGGCCAGGTCTGGGAAGCATTTGAAGCATCTTTCTCCACTTTCCCAGGTAGTTAGTAGGAAGCTTAATTGCAAGTGGAACAGCCCATACGGGATGCTGGCATCACAGGTGGCAGGTTAACCCACTGGCCCCAGTTAGTGATTTTTTTGAATAAATTAATTAATTTGAAAAGCACAGTAAGAGAGAGAGAGAGAGGCAGAAGCAGAGAGAGAGATGTTCCGTTCTTTGTTTCACTCCCCAAATGGCTCCAACGGCCAGAGCTCAGCCAGGCCAGAGCTTGGAGCTTCATCCCGGTCTCTCATGTGGGTACAGGAGGCCAAACACTTGGGCCATTCTCCACTGCTTTCCCAGGCACATTAGCAGGGAATTGGATCGCAAGTGGAACAGCAAAGACTTGAACCATTGCCTATATGGGAAACAAGCAGTGCCATCCCCAGCTAGTGAATTTTAAGTTCAAATAAGTGGGCAGTAAATATTAGTTTGGCTTTGTTAAACATTGTTTGCAACATAGTTTTAACCCCAGATCAGTTTCCCCCTCCTACTCATTGTTTCCTTATCCAAATAATCAGTATCAGGAGATGCATTACATTTATGGCCCAGACTAATGTTTTCAAATTTAACTGTAGATGTTTTTTCAGAATTTGAACTTGCTCAGTCATTGCTAGGACCTAGCACATTTAAGGAATGTCAGTTGAATGAATACATGTGATGGTCCCCTCAGAGTTGACTAGATAGAAGCTAATCTTAAAATTTACAGATATGTGTTTACTTAACACGCAGTATCCATGGTACCATGTCTGGAACATATCTCCCTTGAAAAATGTCCCTTGAGCTGGTGTAGTGAGTTGGGCTGCTGCCTGCGACACCAACATCCCATATGGGTGCTGGGTTGAAGGCTTGACTGATGCACTTAGAGGCCAGCTCCCTGCTTGTGCTCTGGGGAAAGCAGCAGAAGTTAGCACAAGGACTTGGGCCCCTGCAGCCACATGGGATTCCTGGATGAAGCTCATGGCATTAGCCTGGCCCAGCCCTAACCGTTGTGACCATTGAGTAGTGAACCAGCAAATGGGAGATATTCTCTCTCTCTCTCTCTCTCACCCCAATGTCTTGTCTCTGTAACTCTGCCTTTCAAATAAATAATTTTTTTTTAAAAAAAGAAAAATGTCCCCTTGGTGACTCTTTCCTAAGATACTTAATTCAGTACTTTAATAGTCCTTTTGTAACACTGAACTCCCATTATATGCGGGGAACCTGTTTGTTTAATGAAAGGAAGTATACTAGACATTGATGTTTCAATAATGAGGTAAGATTCTTACCTTGAAAAAGCTCATTGGGTTGCTCAGGACTCAGGTGAACCAATAGTGGTAATACCTCTCTGTACTATAGGTATAATGTATAGTTTTTCAAGGGAGGTAGGGCAAGAAAGCTCCAGAGAACTTCAATTTAAACTGGATTTACAATAGAAGTTACAAAAAGTTTGCAGGCTACCTTGAGACTCCAGTCAGGTTATCCTTAGCCGTGTGTATGTGTGTGACCCTGAGACTGTACACAAATCTGGTTTTCTGCTTTCTCTTGAAGTCATAGGTCTGTTAACAGTGAGCTCTCATTCCACCATGACAAAAATAGACTAGAGCTGAATATCTTTCATAGACATTTATCCTGGATTTGTCATTTTCTGTATGCTTTCTTCATTCTATGCTTCCTGCCATGGCCCTTTAGGCATTTGAATTCACAACTTCTGCTACAGTAAGATCAGTATGGATTTTCTGATTATAGAGAAGAGCAGGAAAAAGGAAAGGATCTTCTAAGCAAAGGAAACTGAGGTAGCAGAAGTACAGAGATATATTTAGACTATTCACTGTCATCAATGTGTGTAGCAGAAAAAATTTAGCCTGAATTGTGATATGTTATACCGAGAATTTTATCATATATTTTAAGAAAGTATATTGATAGTTAATAAAAACATCTACCATTAAGTGGGTCTGATGTTTTAAAGGAGGAAGAACATAAAAGCAAGGGTGCCAGTTAGAAAGCCCTTAAGATAGCTTGGACAACAAGCATTGACCCTTAGGGTTTATAAAGAGAAGGGAGATGGTAAGGAGGTGCAGGTGCCCCTTAGGTGTTTCCAGATAAATTTAGAGAATATGTTCTTCCTTTTAGTAATACAAATCCTCATGATCCCTCTTTGAACTAGAATTGTGAATCCAGCTCTCAGTGACTTGTCGGGGAAGGATATAGATTTTAAAAGTCAATAGCACATGGATGGTGTGGGAGTAGATGAGGTAACCCTTTGGGGGAAATAAGAGCCACCTATAGCTCTAAAGAACTAACATTTGCTATAGTGTGGTCTGGGCAATAAAACCGGAAGCCATCCAGAAAAGACTTAGCTAATGGTTCTCAGGGAGCAAAGGCTTTGAAAAGCTTTTTGTAAATAAGTAGTACAAAGAAAGTAGGATGACAACTAAAAATGAAGGCTGAACTTACTAGTAAGACTGACTGCGGACTAGGAAAGAAGAGATTATTGGCAGTTATTCAAGAAATATTGAGCATTTTCAGATGAAATTAAAATGACCATTTTTGGTGGGACTGTGAAATAATGCATATTTGTTCAGTGAGACTTCCTCCCCTTCCCCCTCTGGAAATTCTAATTTTCTTCCATCATAGGACTTTTTTTCTTCATTTTAAATCAGGTGCCAGATGCAATAAAGAAATGTCAGCGGGCTGGAATTACTGTGCGGATGGTCACTGGTGATAATATTAATACTGCTCGGGCTATTGCTACAAAATGTGGTATTTTACATCCAGGGGAAGATTTCCTATGCCTAGAAGGTAAAGATTTTAACAGAAGAATACGAAATGAAAAAGGAGAGGTAAGGAATTTGTAAGAAGAAAAAAGAAACGTATGTTTTTAGCTAATAGGATTTTAGTGTAATAGTCATTTTATTTAACAAATATATTTTGACTATGCACTAAGCTCATATAGGCACTGTACATGAATAAATGTCATCTATTCCTTAAGAAGCAAAAAACTAGCATTCTAGGAGATAACAAAGGACACGTAAGTGATAAAGAAACTAGCCCTGAAGGAGTGAGCATTTCTTTCCTGCTGTGAGTCTAGGGCTAATTTCAGAAGAATAATTAATATTTTGAAGGGGTAATTGTAGATGAGTTTTGAAAGGTAGATATGTAGAGAGAATATTTTAAGGATTCTCAACTCTGAACTTTGTTAGGCTAAGTTAAAGAAGTTCTATTTTTAGAGGAAATGGAGGGATTTCTAAAAACTGGTCTTACATGTAATATGGTTCTCAAGTGTGTGTGTGTATCAGAATCACCTGAGGAGCTTGTTACAATACTCATTTGCTGAGTCCCGCCCCCATGGTATTTGATAGGCTAGTCCTGGGTTCGTGCCCAACAGTTTGCTTTTCCAGGTTCCCAGGAGTTTCTCATGAATTGGTCTGTTTACCACACTTTGAGAACCACTGATGAGTAAAGTAGATAGGTAATTTGGAATTGGGAAACTATGTTTGGGCACCTGTTAACTTTGGTAAAAATTTGTAGATTGAGCAAGAGCGGATAGACAAGATTTGGCCAAAGCTGCGAGTACTTGCAAGATCATCCCCTACTGACAAACATACACTAGTGAAAGGTGAGTAGATATTACAGTTAGTTCAAGTTCACAATTTCGTGATAATACAAGTATGTTTTGCCTCCTAGTAGATACTGAATTATTAGATTAAGTAATGGATACCATCCTTTCCAATAAAATCAAAACACACTTCCTTTTGATAGCTTAGGTAAACTGTTTTTCTTGAGTGATTAAAGAGGATATTGCTCCTAATGTAACCTTCGTTTCTGGAGTTTGTTCTTGGTCAACATATAAGCAGTTTCGATTTCTGCTTAACTGTTTATTTTTAACCTTGAGTCTATAAAACTAAGAAGAGTATTCTGTAAAGTCACCTTATTAATGAAAGAAAATGAGTTTTATGGCACAAATATTTACTTTTATTTAAGGTATAATTGACAGCACAGTCTCAGAACAGCGCCAGGTAGTAGCTGTCACTGGTGATGGTACAAATGATGGCCCAGCACTAAAGAAAGCGGATGTTGGATTTGCAATGGTAAGATCTTACTTATTTAGGTATTCAGATGTAATTTACTGGCTGGGTTGTGTATTTATTGAATAAGTTACTACTGATCTTAAACACTGTCCTTCAAGATTATTTTGAAGGATAATCAGTAAACCTATATTGTCTTATAAGTCTAATTTATGCAGTCTTATGCAGCACATGGGTTTAGAATAGTTACATATTTTTAAATTAGAATCTACCACTCAATTGCAAATGTTTTCTTAAGGAGTAACTGAATGTCATCATTTTATATAGATGTAGCTTAAATATTTTATTTTCTTTTAATCTCATTCTACTTTTGGAAAATGCCAGGTCCACATTCAAAATTCTCAAATCCAAAATTATCAAAAAACTGAAGTTTCAAAATTGAATTTGTAGTAGATTTGTTTAGCTGCGGTACTTGTTATGAACTGATGTTTGGCTCTTTGTCCCCTTAAGTGTGAATATTAACAGCCTTTAAAGAGCTATTAATGTATTTTTATGGTGTGCTAACTAGCCCCTTGGGGAAGAATTTGTGATATAAGGGATATCATTATCATTTTAAAATGGGAGAAATTTTGACTTCTGAAGCACCATCTGGCCCTAAGGACTTCAGATGAAAGCTTATGTACCCACGGCTATTTGCATAAATTATCTGCACCATGGTATTTTGCTGTTGAAATCTGGATTTAGAAGAACCACCATTGTGGCAGACTTTAAACAAAAATGAGAGAGGAAAAGAAAATCATGTGGGTAAATTTCCCTCAGCCAAAAGCAGTGAATCCAAAGATACCCTACCCCATCCCAGATTTTTTTGTTCGGCAGCTGCAACAGTATGAACTTGTAAAGATTTGTGAAAGGTAGCCAGAGAGGGATGAGGAATAATTAAAAGCTTTTCCATGGTCATTCACTGGGAACACAGGAACATTCATTGCTCCTTCTCTTGAACTTTTAGTGGGATTCTTTTGGTAAAGATTTATTTTTTTATTTGAAAGTCAGAGTTACACAGAGAGAGAAGGAGAGGCAGAGAGAGAGAGAGAGAGACAGACAGACAGACAGACAGACATGTCTTCTGTCCAGTGGTTCACTCCCCAACTGGCTGCAATGGTTGGAGCTGCACCAATCCGAAGCCAGGAGCCAGAAGCTTCTTCCAGGTCTCCTATGTGGATGCAGGGGCCCAAGGACGTGGGCCATCTTCTACTGCTTTCCTAGGCCACAGCAGAGAGCTGGATTGGAAGTGAAGCGGCTGAGACTTGAACTGGCACATAAGGGATGCTGGCTCTGCAGGTGGCGGCTTTGCCTGCTACACCACAGCGCCGGCTAGTTCGATTTTTTTTGCTCTTTTCATCTGGACAACTAACCAGGAGGGCATATATGTAGACTGCATTTTAAAATAAGCTTTCTTCCCCAAATTTGAGTTTAAGATGGATACTTTGGGTTTTAAATAAATATGGTAAATATAGCAATGCCAAAAAAAAAAAAAAAAGCTGCAGTAGGATGGCTAGGTTGTGTATTTCTAACCTCTGAAGGTTTTAGCCACAGTTATACCACTTTTAAAAATGGTAACATCAAGAAATCTAAATTTATTTCAAAAACAGGAAATACACTTAGTAGCTTTGACTTGAAATCACTATTGCTCAAGCTTGAATTTTACTTTGGTTTGTGCATTTGTCAGTTAAAACTTAAAAACAAAATTATTTATCTTAGGGATGTTTTTAGGTACCCAGGAAAAATTGCTTTTCATTAGTACTTTCTAAATATGTCAATTAGTTTTCAGGCAGAAGTGGTATTTTTGAGCTTAATTTCAATAGGAAGAGAGAAGGGCATATTCTTTTTTTTTTTTTTTTAAAAAGGTCCTCTAAAACTTTATTACTTATTACCCATAAACATATATATTATCCAACATAATGAAATGGCAATGTTGAAATGCATAAGGTTAGTAACATATTTCAGCAGTTGATCCCTAAATATGTCCTGTAATAAAATGACTCCAGAAACCAGTTCTCTGCAGGCTGAAAGTCAGAGAAGGGTGGAGAAGAGGAATTGAAAAGAAAGTAGCACGGGTGCAGAATTTCAGAAACATTGTTGTGACCTTCACAGCCCATCAGTTCTCCTTTAGAGAAGAGTTACTGTAGATGGATGGATCCATCCACATCCATCTGATCCAGCTTCCTGCTAATACGCCTGGGAGGCAGCAGGTGATGGACCAAGTTATTTGGGTTCCTACCACCCATGTGGGAGAGCTGAGTCGAGTACTGGCTTCCTAGCTTTGGCTTGGACCAACCCTGCTGGTTGTGGATGTTTGAAGGGTGAACCAGTCTCTCTTTCTCTGTCATTCTGCCTTTCAAGTAAATAGATAAAAATTTATAACAGCAAAGTAAGACCTACAGAGGACTCTAAGTAAAATGCTTACAACATGGTTCTGTAGGTTTTCCATTTAATCATTTCTCATAGAATTACTTTATATTTCAAACCTTCATGGTACATTTAAAGTTTTTTATTATATTCATTATTATAATTCATTTTTTATTATATCCATTAAGGAAAATACCATGTGTTAAAGATAGCAAGACAGGATATTCAGCAGGTGAAGGGATGCATAATATAGTAGGCATAGAGATCTCTATATAAATAGTCTTTGCAATGGGGAAGAGAGTTTGGGTTCTACCCTGACTCCAACAAGGTCCTATCAGGATTTATAAGCAAGAAGCAGGGGTGTGCGTCAGTGAGTAGAAAATTACTAAGAGGAAACAGCAAGAAAACAGGGCTCCAGGCTAAATTAACTTGATAGACCATTATGGAACGCAGACCAGGGTGATAAGCTAAGATAGGAGTTCTTAGATGTGTTAAATATAATGTGTATTATAAGTAAAATATTCAGATTAAGAGCTGGAGAACAAAAGTGTAAGTGCGGATTGTTCATTGAATAATAGAATTTTCATTTGAACTTTTTGTGTTTATCAGAACAATCTTTGCAAACCATTTTAAAAGTCAAGTCCTTCTATAAAACCTAATACTAAAACCCCCTACCACATTGTTCCACCCCATTTTTGTCTCTTCAGAGGAAACCAGCTCTGTTAGCTCATTCTTTCTCTTAGTTGTATAATTCTTTACTTCTAAATTACATTATTTTAGTGCTCTTTTGTTTTTGCTTTTTTAATATACAGCATTAGCTATTGACTTTTCATTAAAGATGACAACTTGATATTTTGGTTTTCAAAGGCACATTTGCTGCCTTCATTCCACGTACATAGTCATGCTTACTACTTGTCCCATTATCACCCAGTAGGGTGATATCATGGTTATATGATTCTGGTTACATCAATATTCAGTCCTTATTATGACTGTGAATGCTGAGCCATGTGTTCTATTGTAGTTTTCTCTCTTTACACAACTTTGTGTATTCCATGTAAATTGTCATTTTTTACTTGCTGCCTTTGTGTTACTTTTCTTTTGCTATTTTACTTTTTAAAATTTTGTAGGTACTTAGTATTAATTAATTTCCCAAATTGTGAGTGAACACACTTGGATTATCATAAAACTTCAGAAATGCCAATCATATTCCCTTCTAATTACATCCCCATCTCTCTACAAATATAACCAGTATCCTGAAGATACTGCTTTTCCCATTTTTGAACTTTTATATAAGAATTATATGTTGAGTCCATCTTCTTTTATTTAGTATTATGTTTATGAAATTCATATGTTGCATTTAGCTGCCATTCACTGTTTCTATTAATCTATCCCAGTCTTCTGTTGGGACGAATAACTTTGTTGTTAGCTTGAGTGCTTCTTCTGTGCCTTTGGTAGGCTTTCAAGAGATCCTCCTGTTTTTATTCCCACCTTCACACCCTTTCCATTGCTTCCTGGTACTACCAAGACCTGAACCTTCTGACAGTTCTGTAGGGCAACAAAGACTACTTTTCTGTTTCCCCTACCAGTCCTTAACTTAGTATGAGCTTTCTTGGGTCTACTGAGTTACTCCCAGCCTCTAAGTTTTTCTTGCAGAATCTCCTTCCCCTTTGTGAGTAGCTAGTGCTGAATATATCTTTTTCTATGACTTTTGGAAGGAACTTAGAACCTTTGTTCATTCCTCTATTTTTTTTTACCCAACATGAAGTTTATTTTCAATGTTTCATTCTTTGTTTTTGATATCTATTGCCTCAGAATATCCATGAGATCTTAAAATAACTATATTACTTTCTTGTAACATAAATTTGAGTCAGTATTTATAAAATATAATGGGAAAGATAGTGTGTATTGTGCATTATCCTTTTGAAAAATTTTTTAAGCATGTAGTCTGATTCACAGAATTTCTTTTAACAGGGTATTGCTGGAACTGATGTAGCTAAAGAAGCATCTGATATTATTCTCACAGATGACAACTTTACAAGTATTGTGAAAGCAGTTATGTGGGGACGAAATGTCTATGACAGCATCTCAAAATTCCTTCAGTTCCAGCTTACTGTTAATGTAGTAGCAGTGATTGTTGCTTTCACAGGCGCTTGTATTACTCAAGTAGGTGACAATTTGCTTATTAAAAACTTGTTTATTTTATAGCAGAAATGTGTATATACTGCCCTGTAAATGAACTTAAATAAGCTGAAGTATAATGTTTTCAGTTAATTAGTGTAAAACTGTGGTCCTGTTCTGTTCCTTAAGTTTTTAAATCCTAAAGGCTTCCTGAGAATTGCTGAGTCCCTGAATAGCTGTGAATGTCTATTAGGAAACATATCTTTTCTAGGATTCACCACTTAAGGCTGTACAGATGCTCTGGGTAAATCTCATAATGGATACGCTTGCCTCCCTGGCTCTGGCAACGGAACCGCCCACCGAATCCCTCTTGCTTCGGAAACCTTATGGTAGAAATAAGCCTCTCATCTCACGCACGATGATGAAGAATATCTTGGGTCATGCATTCTATCAACTTGTAGTAGTCTTTACACTCTTGTTTGCTGGTAAGAATTCAGTGTCTAATAAAGCTTCAGTTATATGTTGTGAGCTATTATTATCCAAGGTGTGTTAATGTTAGCAAAACTTAAAGGACCTAAGTTCTGGTCCTGATTTTCATTTATCTTAACTTTCTCCTCTTTTTCAGTGGGTGATTAGTGAAGTTTGGGAGGCAGGATGACAGATTGTGGGGAGAAAATGAAAGAGTTGATTTCTTAGACCGGCTCTGCCACTAACTTAGATATGTAATCTTGTACAAGCACCATAGTTTGGGGGAGGGTTTGTTTGCTCTTCTGTTAAGGAAGAGAATTGTAATAGATAATCTCAAGTCCCTTCTACCTTTTTTATGCTGTCATTCCAGATCAAATGGAGAGTCTGGCCAAGTTTTAATATTAAATACTTCCTTGAAATGTTGTTTCTTAGTGTGATAATTACAAAATAGTAATATTTTATTTTTTCAGGAGAAAAGTTTTTTGATATTGATAGTGGAAGAAATGCTCCTTTGCATGCTCCTCCTTCAGAACATTATACCATTGTTTTTAATACCTTTGTGCTGATGCAACTTTTCAATGAAATAAATGCCCGGAAAATTCATGGTGAAAGGAATGTGTTTGAAGGAATCTTTAATAATGCCATCTTCTGCACTATTGTTTTAGGCACTTTTGTGGTACAGGTGGGTAACTGGAAAAGGTAGTTTCAAATTTATTATATGGGAGATAGTACGTAAAAAGGTAGACTTTTGAGAATTGACTTGATAGCTGGTGGCTGTGGCGGGGAGGAGGAGGCAGCTGGTTGGCTTCTCTGTATTGCTTTGATATCCCGCAGTAGCATGCTCATCTAAGGTGCTGTTTAAAGAACATGGAAACTTTGGCTTTCTTGTTCTTAGATGCTAATGCCACATCTAAATAATTTTTTTTCTTTCAACTCTAAAAGTAAACATTATTTTTTATGAAGCTAGATCAGGATATGACAGTTAAGTAGCTGCCAAATATTGAAATTTTAAAAACTAAACATCCTTCACAATACCAAAAAAGGATAAAATGTAAATTACAAAAAATGTATATATATTGATTTTTTCATACTTTTATTTTCTTGGTTTACATACACAAGAACGTTATTGCAGTTTTATATCTCTGTTAAGTTCATACCTGGTTGTCAAATCAGTTTTTCTCTGATTGAATGTAGTATCAACAAACCAGTTAGCAATTTGTATACAAGTGTACAATCAAGGGGCCAGCATTCTGGCACAACAAGTTAAGCTATCTCTTGCAATCCTGCATCCCTTATTGGAGTGCTAGTTCAAGACTCAGCTGCAAGGATAGAATTCCTGGTAATCAGTATACAAACAATCTTGACATTAAAGTATAGTTAGATTGAAGAAATCCGGTATTCTGTTGCACAATGGGGTGACTATAAATAGCAATAATATTAAATATATAAAATAAATAATATAGATAAAATATATAAATAGCAGTATTTCAAAAAACATTAGAAACAGGATTTTTAACGTTTTTAGCACAAAGAAACGATAAATGTTTAAGGAGATAAGATAGGGACAATATATAGTGGATATATGTATCAAATCATCACTTGGTATCCCCTAAGTATATATAGTTTTCCATGTGTCAGTTTAAAAAAAATACAGTGGGATTGACAAATACATGTTACTTGAACTGGAGTAAAGCATAAACTACAGGGCTTGCGCTGTGTCACAGCAAGTTCATCCTCCATCTGATGTGCCGGCTTCCCTTATGGGCGCTAGTTCTAGTCCCAGCTAGTTCTAGTCCAATCCAGCTCTTTGCTATGACCTGGGCAAGCAGTGGAAGATGGCCCACCCAAGAGCTTGGGCCCTTGCTTCCTGCATGGGAAGCCCAAAGAAACTCCTCGCTCCTGGCTTCAGATCGACTCAACTCTAGCCAGTAGGCCATTTGGGGAGGGAGTCAGTAGACCTTTCTCTCTGTCTCTTCCTCTTTCTGTCCATAATTCTACCTCTCAAATAAGTAAACAAAAAATAGGGGAATAAACTACAAAGAATAGAATTTGTAAGTTTTTTTATAAAAAGTTTGAAAACAGTAACTAAAATTAGTTGAGTAATTACCTTTTTTTAAGGAATTAATATTTGGCAACTACTTAACTGTCATATCAAAAGAAAAGCTTGTCATACTCAGAACAGGGTGGTTATTGTTACTTAATTCTTAATATTTCAGTGTAAAGTCTTTTAGAATAAGGGAAGCATAAGCTGTATGTTATGAGTGTTATTTATGCACATCATTGGACTGCATTCCTTACAAAGGAAAGTGAATTTCTGAGATCACACCACCTGAGTTAGCCCATATTTCATAAAACTTCGCAGGTTCCTTTCTTTCCTTTCAGTGTGCATTCATAGCTGTTGGCTATGTGTAGAAAGAAAATAGTTTTGTTCACTTTTCTATAACCTATGTTCTTTTTGCAAAAATATACTATCATTTGTGAAAGGCCTAAATGTTTCAAGGAATTATACTAAATGCTAAATATGGAATGAAGTTACTTGGTATTATATTAGAAGCAATATACAGATACTCACAAGATTTTTAAAAATAATTTTTAGTAAGCATTATTGAGACATGAAGCACATCATTTAAAATTGGGGGCAGATATTTCACTATTTCTTATTTCAGTTATTTTCAGCTGTGTCTATTGTAGTTCATTGGAATGGTATTTATTCAACTTGACTTTAAGGGACATAATTTTGGGTATTTTTTAAAGTGTATGAATTTTAAGGTTTTAAAGATTTAAATAAATTTATTCTTGATTATTCCTCTAGATAATAATTGTGCAGTTTGGTGGAAAACCTTTCAGTTGTTCAGAACTTTCAGTAGAACAGTGGCTATGGTCAATATTCCTAGGAATGGGAACGTTACTCTGGGGCCAGGTAAAACATCTCAGTTTTTGTTAAAACCTAAAATGACTTTAAAAAAAATCTAGTGTGTGTTTTTTAAAATTAGTTCTTTAAATAGTTACCATTTAGATCAAGAAACAATCTGGGGATATGTATTTATAATAGGAAGCTAATGCCTGTATCTTTTATTCTGTGATGTATTTTTACATTTTCAGGATAAAATCTTTACAGCAGTATATAAAAGTAACATAATTATTTCATCATTTAGCTATGTAATTTAATCCAAGATACAAGTATAGCCAGACAAATCTTGCATTTCATTTAGTAAATGTTTGCATAAAAGTATTGGTATCTGGAATCACATTTTAAATTAATTAATCTGAATAGTTTTAATGGTGTGTACAAAACTACAGTACCTGAAAAGTGAGATATACCTCTTTGCTATAGTCAGCTTATTTGCCAATATATGTCATTTTTTAAAGGTAAGTGGTAATAATGGCATGTGCATTAGAAGCCTGTTACCATTGCTTATAAAGCTACCTGATAATATATACTAACATTTTCATAAAGGAATGTTAACATGTTATGAAATAGAACCTGTGTGAACCAGTTTATTGTCATTTTTTGTAAAGCAATCAAACCAAACCTTCCGTTTTACTTACATTTAGCTCAATCTTCTGCTTTTTCTCTCACTTTTTTCTGAATTGTGTTTCTAGGTTGCGGGTTTCTCTTCCCACTCATTTGAAGACCTCATTAATAGAGATCTTCTTTTTTTTTGTTTTTGTTTTTGTTTTTGTTTTTTTGAGATCTTCTTTCAAGTAGGATTCTACATTTGGTCCACATCCCTTTTTTGATTATCCTGCTACTTATAATGTTCCTGATAGAATACAGCCTCCAAAAAAAAGTCTGGCTTATTTCAGGAAGAGGAAATGCAACACAGCACACAGATCCAATGTTGTGTGTTGATTGTAGGAAGAACACTGGCTTTGGTGGCCAGTACACCTACTTTTAGTCACTCCATATGTCTGAGCTTATTTTGCCTCTATGAAATGAGGTGGTTGAACTAGAAGTTCTGTATCAGTTCGATATCAGACTACATGCTTGTTTTCCCCTAATAAACCCAGTTTCCTTAGGGAACAACTGCTAACACTAAAATACAATTTATTGATTTTCCTTTGCACCCTTTACATTTTCTGGGACATGTTGTTGCTATTGGGTGTCATTATCAGTCAATGTTCATTCAGTTTTAAATAGTTATTTTTTATATTTTATTTTTAAAATTACTCTCTAAAACCATTCTCAGTGTAACCTTGATAATTTAATTTGCATGTTTTTCTCATTGAATTCTTAACAGCACTAACAAAATATACACTTGTTTTGTGTTCCAGTAATGCCACTTGCCATTTTTATTTTCTTTGAAATAGAGTTCAAGTAGATACATTTATAAGAGTATCGTTGTACAATTTATTGTCTTGAGTGTTCTAATTATAATGTGAAAATATAATCAGATTAATTTCCATTTAGGAAAACTTTTTACCCTTCCAACTTGAATCTTGTAGCTCAGAGAAGAATTTTTTTTGTTGTTCTGGGAGAGAAAGATTGGTAAACATAGTTGGATGCCTTTTGTATAAAGTTGATCAGTTTAACTTCTTGATAGGATTCGTTTCTAAGTTCTTTCCCCTGTGTTGTAGCTTATTTCAACAATTCCTACTAGCCGTTTAAAATTCCTAAAAGAAGCTGGTCATGGAACACAGAAGGAAGAAATACCTGAGGAAGAATTAGCAGAGGATGTTGAAGAAATTGATCACGCTGAAAGGGAGTTGCGGCGTGGCCAGATCTTGTGGTTTAGAGGTCTGAACAGAATCCAAACACAGGTATGGGCCTGGTAGAGAGGTAGGAGAAACCATGGGAGCTTTTGAACCTGGGGAGGAGGTTTGTGTGTGCTCCTTAACTTCCTTTCTTGCCTTCCCAACCCTCAAAATTTATTGTTTTTAGAAAATAGTTCTGGTGTCTGGAATGAGTGAAACTTTTAACTGATTACGAAAGAATGTGTCTATATGCCCCTAAGCTCTTTTTTTCCTAGCTCCTCCCCCAACCCCTTCATCTCAAAATGCTACCTTTGCCTATTTATCTGCTCTATTAAAAAGTGCCTTTTTCTTTACTTTTTATATGTTGATAGATGGAATGGTCCTTTCTCTTGTTCTCTCTCTCTCTTGCTGAGCAAGCTGTCACAATCTCTGATTCCTTGCAGATGGATGTAGTGAATGCTTTCCAGAGTGGAAGTTCCATTCAGGGGGCTCTAAGGCGGCAACCCTCCATCGCCAGCCAGCATCATGATGTAACAAATATTTCTACCCCTACACATGTAGTGTTTTCCTCTTCTACTGCTTCTACTACTGTGGGGTGTGAGTGTGTGTTCCTAAGTGCATGAAATTAACATTTCCTACTTCACACACCTAACGTTTCTCATTTTCTCCTTAATGTTTGAATTCATTGTTCAGGCTTTTCATAAAGCTTTCTTTTCGTAAAGTGGATTGAGACCTCAAAGTGTTGTCTTTGTTGTTTTATTTCTTAGAGGGCTAAATAACAGGTGGAGCAATTGCAACCAAAGATTAGATATGAAATCTGTGAGCTTATCTCTGTTAATTTTTAGTTATAATTAATATGGGGAATAAAATTGTAGCTTAGAATTTCTGAAACTACTATAAATTTTTGAGTATATGCCTTTAAACATGTTAATACTGCATGGTCCCAGAAGCATGTGATTTGAAACCGAGCTAACAGAACAAGGAAATCGCATTTTTAAAGCTAAAAATAAATTTAGCATTTTAACTCTTTATCTTGTCCGGTTTGGAAAGCAAGTTGGTAACTTCAGGTACGCAGTACGGGTAGCCATTTTAACCCAAACTTTATTGACTTTATTTTCCTTCCTTTGGTTGGTTGGTTTGTTTTTGGTTTTGGTTGCTTGATTTCAGTGTAGGGATACTTTATTTACTATATTTCTCAGTCTAATTTTCCAGGTTTTATATCACAGAGTCTGTTTTAAGACACACTCTTCTCCCTGGCAAAGCTACATATGAAACCTCTTGAGTTACTGGGCTCATGTGGCTAGGGAACTAGTTTAAACTTCGGAGGTAAATACTTAAGAGAGTGGCAAAGCCACGTCTGTGATTATTGCTTTATCAAGTTTTGAGATGTTTACTGTAAATATATTTCTGTTACTTTAAATTTCATTCAACCTTGCTGATAGAGAATTGTCTTGGATAGGACAAGACCTCAGCCAGTACACAGAATTAAGAGTGTTAACGTGTTCAATGAAAGGTTTAATTTTCTTGCTATCATTTCTGACCTAATATAGGCTTAGAAATATCTGTGAATATTCAGTTTCTTTGACTCAGAATCTTTGCTTTGCTAAATAAAAGAAACAGTAACCCAGCTCAACTTTGTCAAACACTAAACTGGAAATATCTCTGAAGAGAACATCTTTTTCCTTAGTCAGCTCTTTACTCCTTCTTAAGATCACTAGAGAAAGCATTCTGTAGTTTTTCTTTCTTATAAATTATACTATTCTAATATGTCTTCACTATTAGTGGATTATCTTACTAAGTAAGTAGCTAAGCCTTCCTGAAAAGCAGAAAGAAAATTTGTTCTTCTAGCAAACTATAGCTTATGCTCCAAATCTGTCCTTTTGCCTAATTTTTATTAGAATAAAGCTGTGTTCATTCACAGTTTTTGCACTGTAAAGGCAGAGTTGAGTTATGGTAGAGATTGTGTGATCCTTTATAGAAAAAGTTTGTCAAACTCTGTTCTAAATAATGAAAATGTTGCACGTTAAAATGGATGAGCATTTGAGAAAATTTAATATGTAAGCACCCGACTTTGGAAAACAGCCTACAATTTTCTTTAGTGTTGCAGAGTATCTTTCACCTTACCATTGTAGTTATTCAAACTAAACACACAGTAGAAGTAATAATGAATATAAATTTCAAAAACAGGCAATCCTTTGTAGATATATTTAAGCTAATAATTAATTATCTTACACATTTAGAGCCACCAATTTGTATACCATGTTTTGAGCAATAATCTTATTAATTCTTTGTTGTCAAAAAAGATGGTACAGTTTTAGAAAAATGTATGGTTTTGAAGGAGTTATGCTCTTGAAGTCATTTGGTACCTTAATGTATTTTTCTGAAACCATATTTCCTCTATTCTCAACCTACAACAATTAACACAGAAGACTTCTGCTATCCCTATATGAAGAATTCTCATCACCAAGAATCTAGCAATAAATTCTACAGTGAACACCAACTGGATGTCCTTGAATTCAACTCGCTTCTGACACTACCTGGAAATAGTGTCAGGTCCCACTGACTGAGGGCTCTGTCTGTCCCTAAGCTTGTCCCCATTCTCACATCAGTTACCTGTCACAAGCCCTAGGTAACTTTGCCTGTGCTTCTGACTGACTGGTTATAAACTGAGCTTTTCACAGTCTCCCCCTCAGGCTCAATCCATTGCTCCAGTGATTCACACAACTCACTGCTCCCTTCTGTACCTGGCCTGATGGGTTTTTTGTTATTGTTTTTAAATTTTATTTAAGGTATACAGATTTCATGTGTTTACTGTATACAGATTAAGAACACAGTGATACTTCCCACCCTACCCTCAGCCCATACTCCCAACCTTCTTCCTCCTCCCTCCTCTAACCCCATTCTTCTTTTTTTTTATAAAGATCTATTTCAATTAGCTTTATCCTCATAGGATAAATTCTGCACTAAATAGTATGAAAATAAAAATGCTGTTCCTCAACAGTTGAGACAAGGGCTGTTAAAAATCACTGAATCTGAAAAGTGTCAATTTCACCTCTATAAATTACCTTTTAGGTACTCTTTTTTTTAATGATTTATTTATTCATTTGAAAGTCAGAGTTCCACAGAGAAAGGAGAGGGAGAGGGAGTCTTCACCCTCTGGTTTACTCCTCAATTGGCTGCAACAGCCAGAGCTGCACAGATCCAAAGCCAGGAGCATCTTCTGGGTCTCCCTCTTGGGTGTAGGGGCTTAAGGACTTGAGCCATCTTCTACTTTCTCATGCCATAGCAGAGAGCTGGATAGGAAGTGGAGCAGCTGGGACTCTTAACTGGCGCCCATATGGGATGCCAGCACTGCAGGCAGCAGCTTTACCTACTACGCCACAGCTCCAGTCCCTAGGTACTCTACTAATTACCACAGATCAGGGAAAACATACGATGTTTGTCTTTTTGGGGCTGGCTTATTTCATTAAGTATAATGGTTTCCAAATGCATCCATTTTATTGCAAGCAACAGGATTTTATATTTTTTTAACCACCATAGTTTTATATGTACCATAATTTCTTTATTCAGTCTTTAGTTGATGGACATCTGGGTTGATTCCATATCTTAAGCTATTGTGAATTTAGCTGTAATAATAAACATGGGTGTAGAGATAACTCTTTCAATGCTGATTTCTTTTCCTTTTGGTGAATTCCCAGGAGTGGGATGGCTGAGTTATATGATAGGTCAATATTCAGATTTTGAAAGTATCTCCATATTGTCTTCCACAGTGGCTATACCAGTTTACATTCCCACCAACAGCGGTTAGGGTACCTTTTTCCCATTCCTCCCAGCATTTGTTGATTTCTATATGAGAGCCTTTCTGACTGGAGCAAGGTGAACCTCATTGTGGTTTTGATTTACATTTCCCTGATGGTTAGTGATCCTGAGCGTTTTAAGTGTCTGCCATTTGACTTTCCTCTTGAAAAATGCCTGTTAAAGTACTTTGCCCAGGACTGGATTGTTTGTTTTGTTGTTGTTGAATTTCTTGAGCTGTTTACAGGTTCCAGATATTAACCCTATATCAGTTGCATAGTTTACAAATAGTTTCTCCCATTCTGTCAGTTGTCTCTTCACTTTCCTGAGTAATTTTGCAGTGCAGAAGCTTCTCAATTTGATATAATCCTACTTGTCAATTTTGGCTTTGCTTGCCTGTGCTTCTGGGGTCTTTTCCAAAGTTTTTGCCTATGCTGATGTCTTACAGAGTTTCCCCAGTGTTCTGAACTAATTTGAAGGTATCAGGCCATAGAATTAGGTTTTTCATCCATTTTGAGTGGATTTTTATGTAAAGTGTACAGTAGGTGTCTGGTTTCATACTTCTGCATGTGAAGATGCAGTTTTCCCAGTGCCTTTTGTTGAAGAGACTGCCCTTGCTCCAGGGATTGATTTTTAGCCCCTTTGTCAATGATAAGTTGGTTGTAGATAGATGGATTGATTTCTGGAGTTTCTATTCTGTTCTGTTGGCCTATACATTTTTTGTTTGTTTTTGTTTTTGTTTTTGTTTTTTGCCAGTACCAGGGTGTTTTTATTATAACTGCCCTGTAGTATGTTTTGAAATCTGATATTGTGATGTGTCTGGTTTTGTTTTTGTTGTGTAAGATTGCTTTAGCTATTCAAAGTCTCTTATCAAGTTTGCTGCCTGATGCCCAAATAATATTCTACTTCATACCTGTTTGCTGCTGGAGTTATCAAGGACAGTTATCTGTTTGCTTTGTAAATTAAGGACAGTTGGGATGCTTGCTAAACATCCGCGTGTATTAAATGTGATTTGTCAGACTTGACAATACAGCACTAAGGATGATTTATAATAGTATATTTAGCACAAGCATTGTTAACGTGCCAAATATAAAACATTTAACGTTGTACTAAAGGGGAAGGGGAAAACAACTAATAAATAAATTGAAACTATATTTGCTGCTCTTTGTCAAATTAAGGAACAAAGGTCCAAACATATGGAGAAATTGGGTAAGAGTGTCAAAACAAAATGAATAGATGCTGCTTTTCCTAGTATGCGTTGTGGACCATCAGCATCCACTTAGTTTGTTAGAAATGCAGTGTCCAGGGGCAGGTGTTTGGCCCAGTAGTTAAGGCACCCCTGTCCCATATTGACATGCCTGGGTTCAAGTCCATGATCTAATTACCAATTTGTTTATATTGTAGCCCCTCGTTGGTAGTAGGAAATGGCTGAAGTAGTTGGATTTTTGGCACCGCACAGGGAACCAGAATTGAATTTCCAGCACCTGGCATCAGCCTAGCATAGGCCTGGCTGTTGCATACATTTTGGGAGAGTCAGCCAGTGGGTGGACTTTGTCTGTCTATCCATCTATCTATATATCTGCCTCTCATTAATTTAATAAAAAAAAAATGTTGGCCTTTTGGCCCATGGTGAATTAAAATCTGCATTTTGACAACATCTCAATTTAACTCATTTGCACATTAAAGTTTGGGAAGCATTAGTTATTGATGCTTGAGGCAACACTGTTTTTGTAATATACTAATTTAATCTCCCAAAACAGCACAATAAGGGAGAAAATATTGTTGCTTCCCATTTTATATTGTTTGACCAGGATTCCTCAGTTTGTAAGGGGCAGAGCCAGAATTCACTCAGGTATTTTGCCTCTCTCTCACACTTTGACACTGCTGTGCTTTCTATATAAAGACCTAAGTTAATATCGACCAACACACTTTATGCACAGTGCTTAGTAAATCAGAGAAGATACCTTTGAGGAGGAGAGGTAAGGTTATAAGCAGAGGTCAGCACATAGCCCTATACTCTACATTATGTTTGAGAAATATGCTTTCAGATATCCATTTGAATAAATCCCATTGATTTATTCAGTATTGTCTTATGTGGTGATTTTAGTTAACACACCTTTTTTTCTAGAATGTGAAAATGGCAGTTACTTCCCTAAACATAAGTAAATGATGTCTTTATTATTAAACAGGATTCATTAGAAGCAAAGCAAAAGCAAATACCATGTTTGAGTTGACACAAAGTAAATGATCACCTATGTTGATCCTTTTTTTGAGAATCTGAGTGTCACTGGGTTAGTGAAACTTGATGCCTGTGGGCAACTATGTGTTCAAGTCTGACTACCTATTAGCCTTTCATTCATATAGCAGATTTCCAAGAAGGTGGATTGTTAGGCGATATCTATCTTTAAGAGTTAAAATTCGAGAAATCTTTAGAGGATGGCGCTGTAGGTTAATCCTCCATCTGTAGTGCTGACACCAGTTCTAGTCCTGGCTGCTCCTCTTCCAATTCAGCTCTCTGCTATGGCCTGGGAAAGCAGTAGAAGATGGCCCAACTCCTTGGGCCCCTGCACCCACGTGGGAGACCTGGAAGAAGCTCCTAGCTCCTGGCTTCACATCAGCTCAGCTCTGGCCGTTTTGGGATCATTTGGGAAGTGAACTAGTGGATGGAAAATCTTTTTCTCGGTCCCTCACTCTCTTTGTCTGTAGCTCTACCTCTCTAATAAATAAATAAAATCTTAAAAAAAAAGAAAGAAATCTTTAAAACATTCTTCTCTTGGAGAAATTTTTCACAGAAGAATCCTCAAGGAGTTGTTTGATATTGTTTTTATCTGTTCTTCCCCCAAGAACTATAGTAATTAATTTGTTTTAATTTGTTATAGAGAAAAAACACTAACACTTCATAGATAAATGGCATATACTCAAACATTTATAGCTGTTTAATGGCACCTAATAGATATTTATTTGGGTTTTGTCTTTATTTTTTAATTAAGGGAATGGGGGTAGATGTGAGTTCATTGTGGCATTCAGCTTATATTTGCTTGGCTTTTTCATAGTCGGTGACACCCTAATTCCTAGCATGATAAATAGTAACCCTTTGTGCTTGGTTTTGTTTACCTTATTTGAAGTGTTTTCAAAAATACATTTTGTTTTTAATTTTTAAAAAAATCAGCTAAGCTTGTGTATGGTTAAGTTTTTGTTTTGTTTGCTTTTGTTTTGTTGTGTTTTCTTAGGGAAAAAAATCCTATAAAATGGCTATTAAATATTTAGCCAGTGATACTAAATGAGATGATTACTTTGAATTCTGTACCTCTTAATTCATGGAGTATGTGATTTTGTTGTTCTGTAGTGTCCTACTAAAATATTCATTTTTTTTACAGTGTATTGCAAGTTCCACTGCATTACATGCAAATATGATTCACTCATACCTAGCTGTTTGTGGATTCAGACTCATAAATGAACCATTTTTATGTTAAGTGAATGGTGTACTGACATCCTTCTGTGTTTTCTGATATTACAGATTCGAGTGGTGAATGCATTTCGTAGTTCTTTATATGAAGGGTTAGAAAAACCAGAATCAAGAAGTTCGATTCACAACTTTATGACACATCCTGAGTTTAGGATAGAAGATTCAGAGCCTCATATCCCCCTTATTGATGACACTGATGCTGAAGATGATGCTCCTACAAAACGTAACTCCAGTCCTCCACCCTCTCCCAACAAAAATAACAATGCTGTTGACAGCGGAATTCACCTTACAATAGAAATGAACAAGTCTGCTACCTCTTCATCCCCAGGAAGCCCACTACATAGTTTGGAAACATCACTCTGATTGTAAGCTGAATGTTAACACACTAGCTGCATTGTAAAGAATCAAATTGAAACTGGGTCTTTTCACATATTGTGACGGACAAGATGATATTCTTGTCTTTGGACTTCAACAGAAGACACACTTGTACGAATGTAGATTTATTTTTTTAAAAAAAAAGCAAAGCTTTCTGCCAGACTGAGGGTGCTTTTTGGGGGGTGGGAGAAACGAACTGACAGATAAACAGTAACTCAGTGTAAGTGACCCGTGGATCACCAGTAGTACCCAAGGATGGTCCTGAACAGTGTATTAGCAGAGCTTTAGTTTATCTCAGTCCTTGATGGGAGAGAGGGAGGAGTAAAGGTGGGCAAGACAAAGAGCCCTGGATCATTGAATTGATATTTTAATTTCTGCTGTTGGCTGTTAATAATTTGGATTATTTATGTTTATAAATGATACAGATCTGTTTACAAGGTTTGTAGATACTTTTTTTGTTCCTGTTCATAGATGGGAAGCTTCCTTATAACTGATGCAGAGAAAAATTAGTCCTTCAAATACTGCTGTATTTTCAGGAAAAAAAAGGGGGGGGGGTGTTTCTATTGAAACTGTACTAAATTTTTGCCTACAATTTACCTTGTTAAATATTGTAGATAAATTGCTAATACTAATAGCCAAATAGATAACACTAATGCTTTGTTTAAAAAAACAAACAAAAAAAACAAAACAAAACAAAAAAAAAACATGAGCAGTGGTGTTCTAATGAAGTTATGGCATCTGTCCTAATTAGTTTCTTAAATACATTTACTACTTAATGGTTTTGGAACAACTGTTTAATTTTTAAAATTTTTGAAAACTTGCTAATAACCTTTTGTTCAGAATTTAGTAGATTGTTTAATGCAGGACATCAACTACATAATGAAAGATGCTTGAAATGCTTTTGTTATTTCAGGCAAATCAAATTAAATCAAACTATCAAACTACAAGAGAACCTTAGTCCTTTTTGTTTTTGTCTAAACTTGTGTTAGTTCAGTGATGTCTTGGTGAACTGTGAGTGAACTGTATTGATTTTTCTAATAAATCCTTAGAGACCTTCACACAGCATGAGGGCTGTTGGCATTTTGAAAAAGGTTAATAAATGGAAGCATCCATGTTTTCCTTTTGTTTTTGAAACTTGTTTGTAAGCATAAATAAATATGCCCTTTTATTAAATAAATTCATGGCAATCTTTTTTTAAAAGATATTTCAGCTTCTTTATTCAGTTCTGCATTTATAGTGCATCTGTCTGTTCTGTCTAACCACAGTTGAAATAAATTTCAAGATGGTAACAGCCCCATGAAATAATACTTTAATTCTTTGGTGGAAATCTGATAGAATCAAATTAAGAAAATTATCCCAATTTTGTCATTGACATATTCTTCATAGAATTTTGTTTATCTAAAATAGCCTCAGTTTCAAACATTAATGATCATCAATGTCTTTGAAGCATTTGTTTGATTCTTAAGTGGCCAAATTATAGATTAGATAAAATGAGATTTTATTTAAAAAAAAAAAAAAAAAGGTGAGAAAGCTTCTACAAACATGCATTCAGTTGTAGTAATTAACCGTATACTGCAGTGCCCATCACAAAGCCAACTGGATTCTTTAGCTCTCCATTTCTTTCATTTGTCTGCCTTCTTCTCTTTTTTGCCTCTTGTCTTTACCCTTCAGAAAGTGGCATTGTGTTAGGGTCCAGATTCCACCACATACACAATCCTCAGGCTGACGTAAAGTTTACAAGGACTGCTACATCTGAGATTGCTGACCCAGCAAAGAAACATTTAGATGATGGTGCTTGATATTTTTGGTGGGTGGGGGAAATCTTTTCTCTCCATCAATTCTTTGCAGTAATCCTCTGCAAGTCTTAGACACACATTGGCTCTGTCAGCATTTGTAACTGTACATTATTAATTCATCAGGTATTTATAGCAAATCATACTGTAAAAAGAGGTAGCATGATATGCTGGAAAGCATATTAGACTAAGAGTCTAGACCTGCTTTCTAGTCTTGGTTTTGCCATTTATGTGCTGCATGATCTTGGGGAAAATCCTTTACCCTGAATGAGGGTGGTGGACTAGACTCTATTTTGAAGAACCTTTCAACTCTAAAAATTGACCCTATCAACTGGAGAGCCTGCAAGGCATAGGGAATAGAGAAAAGGGAAATGTTTAAACAGATTTTTTTTTTATTTTGGTTATGCTTAAATATGAATGTAATTACCAAAAGATTTAGAAGTGCATGTGCTTTGGAGGATTTGTATTAAGCTTTTACAGTATTCATTTTTCAACTCAAGGCAATGGCTTTTTACACCAACTCTAATCCATAAACAGGTCCTAGGACATCCATGAAAGTTAGTAGCAAGACATGCTTAGTGTGTATTCCTCTCTTTGAGACACTGTAATTTCTACCAGAAATTTCCAGAGCATTATGTAAGTAGGAAAAAAAAAAATGCAAGCAAGCTGTTAAAGATCTTGGATCCCATTATATAGTATGTATAGCTGAAATCAGCATCTGTAATTCAATCACTTTTTCTCTTTTATCCTCTAACCAAAAAAAATTGTTTAATTTTGCATCCCAAATGTTTTTAATCTTTGTATATTTTTTAAAAATCCTTTTCTCCTCATCATTGCCTTTTTTGTGGTTGTAAATAGACTTACTTGCACTTTGAAGATGAGTTATTCCTTGTCATCTTACAAATATGTGATATGGTAATTTTCATAACAGATGTCAGTTTTGAACCAAGAAATGGTGATTTGTTTATAAGAAAAAAACTGGCTTCATTTCTGTGAAATTGCTCTTTGAAAATTTCTTTTTACACATGTAAGCCAACTGAGATAACCGTGATGGTGTTGATTTCTTTCAATGATGCTTACCATCTATTTTAGCCACTGAGCCTTTTATTATTTGTCTATTTGTAAAGTTTATTTGTCTTAACTCATTTAATAAATATACTGTTTATCTGTTTCTGAATGGGGACTGAACTTTTTGAATAATGAAATTGATTTGAACATATTTTGGAATTTTTTCTACTTGAAATTTTTAAAAGCTAATTGATGAAAATCCTATAATGTACTTGAAATGTTATGGTTGTATTGCAGTGAATCCGTGTTCTGATATGCATGATCTTGCCTCTAAAATGAAAGTGGGTACATTGTCCCTACTCTCCTACCCACATCTTCAATCCTTGTAGCATAATAGATCATTTCTGCAATCCATGGGAGTGTACTGTTTTTGTGTTAAAACAGACTAGCTTAACTATTAGAGCTTATTTTTTTAATTAAATAATTCAAATTTGTCAATAGCAATTATCTGAATTCTACGGAACAAAATAAACTTACCCTTAGTTGGGTTTTATAATAAGTTATGAACATAAATTAGCAATTTTGTTGAAATACTGAGTAAACTTTAGCTATGAATACCATAGTTTTGATTGGTATAAATTTTTGGTAAATTATTGAGTATATATAAGTATCATATTTATGACATGAAAAATATTTTCCATTTCATCAAATTAGGTTCTATCTATGTATTATATATTAGAATTGAATTTTGAATTAACTTCTTTCCAAAATGAGAATGAGAAAAGGGAGCTTCTTTGAGCCTTTCCGTGTTGATAATTTCCTTACCCCTGCCTTTGGAGAACTCATGTCTTATTGAAACTGCCTTCTTTCTTTATGTTTTGTTCATTTTTTTATATATGTTTACTTTCATCTACTTGAAAGGCAGAGCAAGAGAAAGAGAGAGATCTTCCATCCGCTGGTTCACTTCCCCAAATGTCAGCAATAGCTAGTGCTGGGCCAGGCCAAAGCCAGGAGCCTAGAACTTCATCTGGGTCTCCCACAAGGGTGGCAGGGGCCCAAGCATTTGTGCCGCCATCTGTTCCCTTCCAGGATCCATAAACAGGAAACTGGATGGGAGGCAAAGTTAGCCAGGACTCGGTCCAGCACTCCCACGACGTGGGCATCGGCTTAACCAGATGTGCCACTATACCCTTCCTTCTTGTACTTCAGTGAGACCCTTCTGTCCAAATCCCATATTAATCCTTATCTTTTTAAATTGCTATGTTATACTCCTGTAGATACCCTCCCCAAAAGAAAGGATTCTTTTATTAGCATGGTTATGCTATCTTGCTGCAAATAATTTTAAACTTTTCAAATAATCATTCATGGTGTTTCCTGTGCTAAAGCAGCTGGTCGTTGTGGTTCGGTACTTCTGTCATCAGTGTGTGTCGAGAAGGAAATCGTTTCTCCAGATGATTTTCTTTTCAACAGATTAATAATTTTGTCCCCTTAAACTTTCAAATGAGTTTACTTTTATGCTTTATGTCTTAAAACTGTTTTTTGACATTTTGCCTATTTGCTTATAAAAATGTTTCCATTTATACATGAATATACTAAATGTAGGCATATGTAATCTGTTTTCTGATTTCAAGATGTCATTATTTAACACATCATGTTACTGACTCAAAAATAGTAAATTAAGGTTAAAAAAAAAAAAAAAACAGGCATATGTGCTTACACAGTCTCCATCTCTGGCCCAACTTTCATAGCTTATACCATATCCCACAAAAACCAGTTCCCGAGTCAGTAACACACATCCAGGTTTGGGTTCAATGCCTTGCTAGAATTCTCTTAGTTTAAATCAGGGCTTTTTTCCAAGTCACTTTTAGACCACTAGCTATTAAAGGAAATATTGTCAAACATAAATTAGTATGTGATGTATGCTGAGCTCTTTACATAGATTATGTAAGTAGTAACAACTCTGTGACCTACTTTATATATTGGAGAAACTGAGGCTTAGGTCATTAAAGTCACTTCCTGTTGGTTACAGGCCTTGATAACAGAGCTGGGAGTCACACTTGAGGTAGCGCCTTACAAGAGCCCAGGCTGGTGGCCAGTGCTGTCCTAGCATCCTGTTAACCCAGGTCACAGCTTAGTGCACAAAGTTCTGTGTGAAACTTAGTGCTCTCTTTATGTTGCTTCTCCATTTGTAATAGCAAGTGTTTCAGAGACACTCTTAAGAATCTTCATACCCTTCCCAGAAGAGGATTCAAAAGGCAATCACCAATTCATAGGTATAATCCACCTTTTCTCCGCTAGCTGCAAAGTCAAAGATAAATCCGTAAAATGGTTTTTAATAGCAAGTCTAATAAGAGGATTTTGTGATTCAGTACTTTGAAGATGAGCATGTGTACTCAAAGTTTCGTGACTAACCTATTAGTTTAACGGCATTGTTTTATTTCCTAAATAATTTGGAGCGAAAAACCTACTGTATTAATGAAATCATCTGTACCTTTCTCTGTTTTTGCAATTGGTATTTGCTGCGAAATTTTTTAAGTATCTTCTTGACAAGGAACACCTAAAGAATAGAATGTTTTGCTTTCTAACTTTTTTTCAATGAAGAATTTTGTTCTTCC